TCATTTCAGTGCTCTAGATGGAGAACAACATGGCAAAACTGATTTTGTCACCACTTCAGTTTAGCATTAGAAAATATTGTAGGATACTGGGTGATGTGATGTGATGCATGCACTCTTACAGCTAACATCCAATCAAACAATAAGAAGTCCAGTCATGAATCACAAAGACTCAAGACATTGAATAGGCGGCTCAACTCCAGAAGATGAAAAAGGTTGCTGCTTCCATCCCATAAGAGTTTTACAATAAGCATCTGGGTCGAAGACATAAAGTCCAAATGATTTTGCATTAATTTCTTACTGTCTAAAGTCTTATAATCTAAAGAATGGTACAATGAGTAAGAGAAAACATGTACCCATCAGGGACAGATACAGTTAGCAGCTGTCATGTGGCCACTCATGTGATTCAACAATCTGAAAGCCTTATTAGGAATAGATAGATATGCCACCACATGAGCATCACAAATTGCGTGAAGACAGAGTTTTTCAAAAGGACTGTGGAGAAGCTACCCCGTTGTTGCCATGGAGCGTGGCACGGCACATTATATCGCTACACCTTTGGTATCACTTTCTCCAGCATCCGTGCCGTTAATGCCCTGAAACGGAGTGTGAAACGTCTATGTGCCGAGCAACCGAGCACAAAAGGCTGAAGGATGATAATTATCATGTGATCACTGTAATTAGAATTTGAGCAACACTTTTCCATAAATTTCATTTAATGGTGCCACTGAAAACCAGAAACACTGTCTCGCAGGATTACAGTGTGATGATCATCAAAGAAAAAAACTCCAGTGAGACACCAATTATGTCTAATTATGGTCAATGATGACTAAGACATAAAAGAAGGCTCGATGGAAAAGGTCATGAGAACGATTTTGCTCCTCATCTCAACATCTTGGTACGGGGTAACAATACCAATCAGAACCTTGAGTCAATTATATAATCGCTCCTGTGATTAACTGGAGACCTACAAGGGCTCATCCAAACTTTATGTGCTCGGGTGATTCATACGACAGACAAAAGACTGCACAGAAAGTTGTGGTTCACACTAAATACTAAGAGCCACGTTTATTCTGACATTTATTATTTTGCATCTTGACCAAGAATAAAAAGAGGTTAGAAATAATGTTATATAATTTAACATAACTTTTAAAACTCTTGTGTTTCACAGACATCCTTTCTCTCCCCACAACCTGCTGATGCTCAAGTGTTTGGTCACCACCTACTGGCACATCAGGCGCATAAAAATCCTTCACTGAATACACCATCACAACATCAGGTCCATAATATGAAACGTTATATAATGGAAACATAAAACAATACTATAAAACAAAGACCTAAATTTGCCTAAAATCATTTGCAAAGACTCCAAACTTAGAAGTGATTTAGGAAAACTCTCAGATTACACAAATTCACATGGTGAGAGTTAGATTTCAGGTTAAATCCATTTGCCATGATGGTAAATTTAATCCTTGATCATCCATCCATCCATCCATCCATCCATCCGCTTCCACTTATCCTTTTCAGGGTCGCGGGGCGCTGGAGCCTATCCCAGCTGTCATAGGGCGAAAGGCGGGGTACACCCTGGACAGGTCGCCAGTCTGTCGCAGGGCCAACACACAGGGACAGACAACCATTCACACTCACATTCACACCTAGTGGCAATTTGGATTATCCAATTAACCTATCCCCACAAGCTGCATGTCTTTGGACAGTGGGAGGAAGCCGGAGTACCCGGAGAGAACCCACGCAAACACGGGGAGAACATGCAAACTCCACACAGAAAGACCCCGTCCTGATGGTGGAATTGAACTCAGGACCTTCTTGCTGTGCGGCAACAGTGCTAACCACCGTGCCACCGTGCTGCGCTGATCATATTATAATAAATAAAATTTTACAGCCTCTACGATTTACTGTTATAATACATGGGAGCTCATCATGTCTGTGAATGCTCTACGATGTGAAAAATACAATAAACTGCTTCACAGCATGAGGCTGTGAAAGCTATCAGCGTGTTGCTCTGCTGATGAAGGTCGAGCAGACCCAACTTGCATTTTTCCAGCTCCGAAACACTTTAGCTATGATGACTTTGTCAATGCTGGGTTTATTATTAGATGTAACAGAATCTTTACCCATGAAACATGTAACCTGCAGCTTTAATTACCTCACTGTTATTCTGAATTTGGAGCACATACTAATGGCACTAATGTATGCACATGATTGACCTGTGGCTCGTTTTTTCTACAGCTGCCAAACCAAACTGTTATTATGCTGGCAAGTTAACTACCATTAGTCAGCTGTAATTAACCACACAGTGTAATGCTTTAACTACTCAGTTTGTCTTAAGTGTTACATTAAATTTTATTCCTCTAACGCCTAAAAAGATAAATTAACCTTATTATGCAAAGCGCAAAGATTTTATTTAATCACCAGGATGAAAAAAAAAGTGGCAAAGCTTCTTCTTTCTGCCAGTTTCTCCTCTGCTTAGGGAACTCCTAAGTAGACCCTGATTAATACGCTGTCAGGGCTGATATATTATGTATTAGCTATTTACCAATATATCAGTATCTGTAATTATAAAAACCAATAAACGTACATTTAAAAAGTACGGAAGAGACAGAAGAAAGGCCTTTTCAACCATGAGTGTTGTAAAGTTTTGTCAACAAACCAACCAAATGATGCGAACAGAGCGTAAACATTAATGTTTATATGTTTGTTTGTTTTCAAGGTGCTGAAAACAAACAAAATATTAGTTGACATATTAAATTTTGAAATCAATATATGGTATTACATCGGTGTTGTCTTAAAAATCTTCTTTCAGTCAGGCTCCACTCCAAAGTCACTTAAAAGTCCTTCTTTTCACTTCACACAGTTTTTCATCTTAGAAGCAGACGCTTTGTGAAGAACTTTCACCTTTTCAAGATTTAGTCGTAACTTTAGCAAGAAATTCTTAGAAATTAAGAAAAATGTTGGCACGAGGAGCTAGCTTTATGAGCACTGACACTGACAGAGGCGAGGCTGCCGAACACTGGCGCCACCGGGCCCTCTGACCACCACCAGTAGGCAACGGGTGAAGCCGGAGCTCGAACCGGCAACCTTCCGATTACAGGCGAACTCCCAACTCTTGAGCCACGATGACATTACATACTTGTGTTTTTGTTTGGTTGGTTTCTTTTTGCGTAGGAAAAACTCCAAGCAAACTGAGCACACTTACCATGTTCATGTGTGGAACAATGAGCAGCATCACGTAGAAAATAGTGCAGTTGTGAAAACACCTTAGACGTCAATGGAGGGGCAACAATCATAAATAGGCCAAAAAACAAGAGGATTTGCAAACTCACCAGCGTAACGGTGAGATTAAGGACCCGTCCTTTGCAGTCCACAAAGTAAACACTGTCCTCATACCAGGGGTCTAAATGCAGGTAATTATACATGCCAAAGGCACGCATGTGTTCCAGGGTGTACTGAGTATCCTTCAGCTTGACCTCCTCCACGGCTGCGGCAGATATGAAAAAGAAAAGATTAAATATGGCGGTAATCAAATTTCTGTTATTTATGTTTTTACTTAAAAAGCAGGTTAACCTTCTGCCTTTCCTACAGTTGCTTTGTGGAAAGTGTTACATATGTCTTAACATATCTTAATATTTCAACATTTTACTCTAAGATGAACTATTGGTGACAAAAAAACTGCAATTAACTATTTTTACAGCTACTATTTGTCTGAATTATTCCCACTAAATAAAGTATCGTTGTTGGGGGTTTTTTAAAGCACATTAATCACCTTGTAATATGCATACCTGCATCTACTGTGAGTGGATGTCTGTGCAAAGTGTAAGCACCTTTTTATATAAGTAAGACTGTATCCAAACCAATGTTATAATGAATTCTCCTGTTACTTCATAGATTCTTGATTTTTGGCCCACACTAGCTGTTTTATAATCTGGATAAGAGACATAGTAGAAAACACCTGGATGCAACTCAGGTGAGCTCAGCTGGCCTGTTTCGATTAAAAGGAATTAGCAAGCTTTGGTATATGATTATGCAAAATATCGTTTTAATCACTAAAGTACATTTCTGGATCAGCAGCCCCACCAATTTAGTATTGTTCAAACTTAAGTTAAGATCTTGAAGTTAAAACACGTATTACAAAACTAACCTTATAACGTAAAGTAGGTGCAAGCTCCCTATGATTGTTTTTAAGTTATTTAAAATTGGTGCACTTGACTTGTCCTGGCAATATAAATGAGTTATGTATGTGTATGCAGTTCAAACTGTAGTAATTAGTCACTTCAGCGTTAATCTGTTAATTTTCAGTGGTTTAAACAATGCTATTGTTCAGATTTAGTGATCATGTGAAAGCTCATTAGGTTACAGTGGTGGACCTTAAGCTCTCATTCTGAGCCACTGAGCTACAGATACAGCTGCCAAAATATTATGTAGCATCAACAGCTGACGTCGTCACGTAGTGGCAGCTAATAAAATGTCTGAGATAATGTCAAATAACTTACATTGCTATTCCTATTTAATGTTATACTGGACAGAAGTTATACTGGACCTTTATCAGGGCTAGGCTAGCACACTTGCTAACTGCACTTAAGTTTTTCTCACCAGCATCCAGCTCTATGTTGTACGTCGGTATGGCGTCCAAGGATAACCTGTAACTCTCAAAGTTTGGGTCCAGCAGGTCTCTGTTGACCTTTAATGAGTAGTTAGACGCAGTCATGTCTTTTTCAATGAGACTGGCTTATTGACAAGTTGATGACAGCCTGTATGCAGCAAGAGGAGGAGGGTGAGGTGTAGCCAGCGTGATACACGTTTCCTGTGTTTTCGTCATTGTTTTCTCACACGGAGCTATTTTACGGCGGACAAAACCTCCCAGGGCGCAGGGGAAGTTGAGTCCTGAGCTAATTTCTCTTGAAATGCTTAAGTAACTGTTTTAATGTAGTGTTTTCAGTTTAAATGTATTGTATTATATTTGTTGTTATTAAACAGGTATTTTGAACACTAATGAGACTATCATTGGTTATTCAGGTTGACGTTGAAAGATTAACCGCTCCAAAGCCGGAACTTTTAAGCGTTGAACGTTTTTAGACGGTTCAGTTGCGTAAAGGGACCTTATGTTCCCCAGCTGATCCTTCTCGATAACGGTAGCGGCTACCTGATAGGGAGCTAAATTAGACATTATAATACATGCTTTTATTACTCTCTTTCTTCCGAGCTGACTGTGTCGGTGTGTGTGTTTAATTTCAGGCGGATCATGAGCAAAGATTCCCAGATGAGGGCTGCAATAAATCAGAAGCTGATAGAGATGGGGGAACGGGAGCGGTAAGCGAGTCTTTCGCTGCAGTGATTTGATGCTGGATGGTTTGGCGTGGTTTTGAATTGCACAGATTAAGCCACATAATGTGAATTAAATGTGTGGCCGCAGGTTGAAAGAGTTGCTCAGAGCGAAGCTGGTGGAGTGTGGGTGGAAGGATCAGCTGAAAGCACACTGCAAAGGTATTTGACTTGTTCTTATGTTTGTGTCCGGTGATGCTGTCGTGGTGCTATAAAAACAAAAGTCACTAAAGTCATTACCTCCCGTTTGAGCCAGATGTGATCAGAGAAAAGGGCCTGGAGCATGTCACAGTGGAGGACCTGGTCACAGAGGTCACACCAAAAGGCAGAGGTACAGTACAGATGTTCAAACGCAACAGCAGGGGGAGGAAGACTGTTAGAAGTGATGAGCATACTCATTTGCATCGTTGGTTTAGATGTACAAGTCAATTTACTTATTTAGCACTGCACATAATCTTTAATACATCTTTGTGCATGCTAACTAACAAACTGCTAATGTTGTAGGTCAGCACTACTTATTGATTACAGCTCTTACAATTTCAGGTTTCCCTGATATACAGTCTTGAACCACCCCTCACTCCTTTATATTTTTCTTCCAAGGAGCCAGACGCTGTATTTTTTTTTAAACTGGTCTTCAGTAGTAGTTCTTCAGACTTTCTGAAGGTCTTTCAGAGTTTGTCTTTGGACATTGACTGCCCATTTGAAGAACACTTTCAGATGCCTCAGTCATTTTAAATGAGCTTTAGCCTAGAGAAGATGGCAGTGTTTCTGGATCATTTTCCATTATTTGTGCATATTGGATATTAACCATTATTCGTGCATGGCATGGTGATTTCTGGAAATGTTTCTGAGCTTCGTAGGAAGTTTTAGAGGGAGCTGGTGCCTCTTAAAAGTCATATTTTATCTACCAGGCCAACACTATAACATACATAGAAAAAATATTAGAAACAGCTGACAGGATGACAACTTCTGACAATAAAAGTATCGTGTTGTGTGAGTATGTAAGTTTCTATTTTGTGTTCTGACTTATCTCTCTTCATCTCTTCGTCTCTTTCCACTGCAGCACTTGTACCAGACAGTGTGAAGAAAGAACTCCTCCAGAGAATCAGAGCTTTTTTAGCTCAACATGCAACCTTGTGAATGACACACTTCCCTTTTTTTTTTTTTGTTTGTTTGTTTGTTTTTACTCACTGTTGATCCACGAGTGAAATCCAAACTGTTGTTTATTGTGTTCATTTTAGTGCTAATTTTATTTTTTATTGTGTGTTTTCATATTGATTTTTAGTTTATGCTGCAGTTTTGGAGAAGAAAAATAAAGTCATGCCTATTTTGGTCATTCTTGTTGTAATTGCTACCTGTCTGGTTGATCAAAACCCAAAAGTGCAGACAAATTAAGTCTTAGTGCAAAAGGCAGTGGACACCCTCGACCGGTCCCCAGTCTGTCGCCCATGTCGAAAAAACAAAAACTTATAATTGCATCATAAACTTTGAAATGTTATTTATTTACAGTTGTTGAGAAAATACACCCCAGAAATAATAATGTTGATTGGCAGTAGGTTTTATGGATCAGGAGTTAATAAAAAATGATCTGGTCTTAAACACGTCTTGAAATTAGATAAATATTATCTCAGATAAATAACAAAACATAACTTGCTACACAAAATACAAAAAGAGTGTGGAAAAAAAGTACATCATTACTGCCTCCATAGGAATTAAGAGGCTAAGCAGCTGCTAATCAAATGCACTTGAATAGCTGATCATCAGCAAGTGTGAGCACCTCTATAAAAGTACAAGTTTTGGCCGTTCCCTGCTCTGGAGCTTTCAGGTGTGTGTTAATGCAGTGCCATGGTGGAAGGGCATCAGCAATGATCTCGAAGAAGCACTTGTTCCAACAGTCTTGGAAGTTTGTAAAGGATATTTCTAAACATTTTGAAGCTCATCATTCTACGCTGAGAAAGATTAGTCCGTCACAAGTGGAAAATACGTCATAGCGTTACTATGAGAGGACATCCCAGCAAATTTTCCCCAAGGAGTAATGCTTAGAGAAACTTTGATATATGAGCTGCAGCTCAGACTCTACAGGCCTCATTTAGCTTGTTAAATGTTAAATTCTCAATTTGCTGTTCATACCGCCGTAGTGCAGGCAAAATGAAAGGGTGTTTGTTCAGGGTCTTAAAAATATTAGAACACACACACAAACATCATGGAAACACCCCACTCTGCACAATCAGACACATGCATCCCAGATGCATCACTGTAAAATAGTCTCTTTAAAAGAAAAAAAATAACTATATAAATAAAGAACTGAGTAAGAAAGATAACTAATTAAAACTAATTCTAAAGACTGCTGGGTATAGTACTGTACATAACCAAATCAACAGTTCAGCATTCTAACAGCTTGTGGGAGGAAGCTGTTGGAGGCTTCCTCCAACAGCTATAACCGTTTGCCTGATGGCAACAGTTCAAAGAATTGAGGGGGTGTGAGGAGTCATTCACCATTTTCAGTGCACTGCTCCTGCTGTGGCTCTCGAAAAGCTCTTGGACAGAGGGGAGGGAAACTCCAAGGGCCTTCTGAGCTGCTCTAACTATCCTCTGCAGTGCTGTTTTGTCTGACATACTGCAGCTGGAATACCACGCTGATATACATGTACCGTATGTCAGAACATTCCTCTGTTAAAAAGTCCTGAGGATGCTGGAGGGGACAGAGGCTTGTTTCACCCAGTCCCTGCTGGGCCCATTTTCTGATCACTGAGATGCTCTTGTCCCAGCTCAGGTGCTTCGAGATCTGAACACCTAAGAACCTGATGTCTTCTACTCTCTCCACTGGGCAGTCGCTGATACTGAGAGGAGCGTGCTGGATCCGTATCTTCCGGATTATTCACTCTACACCAGCCCACAAGACGTTCAACTTCTTTCCTGTACATTGATTCATCATTTCTGCAAATCAGTCCCACCACTGTGATATCATCTTCAAACTTAATAACTAGGTTCCCCTCATATCTGGATACACAGTCATGTGTTAACAGCATGAACAACAGTGGCCTGAGAACACATCCTTGAGGAGATCCAGCGCTCAGCATGGTGGGTTTGGAAATGTTTCTCCCAAGACATGTGTGGTGTTCAGCCCCAGTAAGTGGAGTTTCTCTAGTAGTCTCTGTGGAATGGTGGTGTTAAACACTGAGCTAAAATCAATATATTGGAGTATGGCATAGGTCCAGATGGGGGATGTCTGAGTGCAAGGTGGTGGTTAATGCATCCTCTGTGGAGTGGTTAGGATGATAAGCAAACTGGAGCAGGTCAATTGATGCAGGAAGGGTGGCTGTGATGTGTGGTTTGATAAGCTGTTCAAAACACTTCATCACAGTTGGCGTCAATGCGACGGAACTATAGCCATTTAGACAAGATAAAACTGGTTTCTCTGCTATTGGCACTATGGTGGATATTTTGAAGCATCTCGGTGCGGTGGCGTGACTGAGGGAGACGTTAAAAATATCATTTAGGACATGTGCCAGCTCACCAGTGCAGTCCCTGAGCACATGTCCTGGGATGTTATCTGGACCTGCAGCTTTCCGTGGGTTGACCCCGGCTAGGGTCCTCTGGTATCTGCTGCACTTATAATAACAGCTGGCCCTGTAGATAATGGAGGAGAACCCACTTTCCCTCTGTATGTTCGGTTTGATGCCTGGAAGCATGCAAAGAAGTTATTGAACCTGTCCGGAAGAGAAGCATCATCTTTATTGACCCCTTGCAATTCATCAGTGCCTGTACTCCCTGCCATGTTCATCTGGTGTTTCCTGTCTCGCAGAGGTGTCTCTCGCAGACCTGGCCACAGGGAGAGCAGTCTCATGCTCCACCAGGGTCTCTGGTTGCCACGTGCAGTGAAGGCCTTAACTACAGTGACATCCTCTTAGCAATGTAGCTGTTTACTGCCTCTGCCTGCTCTATGTTTATCTGGTCTCCCTGCGAGGCTGCTGTCTTGAACACCCCCCATTCGGTGTTCCTAAAGCAGTCTTTAGTGCCGAGGCTGTGCTGAGGCTGCCAGATCCTGGTCTGTTTTCTCACTGGTCTGCTGCGCTTCAGGAATGGTTTGTAAGCAGGCTCAAGCGTAACAGAAAGGTGATCAGAGTGGGTGAGGTGGGGGTTTGCTCATTATAAGTACATGGAGAGTATCTGTGTTGAAGAACAACGTCATGGCATTGCTCAAAGACATTTTGATAACAATCTCTTTCCTGGAAGGGGTTTGTTACTTTACATTTCTTTTAAATACCTTGAAGGTGTTTTGTTGGATTCAAGTCAGGTGAAATAGTTAAAACAACTTTTTTCTTTTTGTTCTTGAAACACTCGTGTGATTTTTGACAATGTGCTTTGGATGATTATCATGCTGAAATATTTCTATGATGTCAGGCTTCTGAAGGTATACAGCGGTTTGGCATTCGTGATTCCATCTGTAAAGTCATGAGGACACCCTTCGAATTATTTCATATTTATGAATATTACACCCACTTTGGTGAATTTAATTAAGCAATCTTTCTATGCATTGTTTGGATTTTTTAAATAGACATAGTCTAAAGGAAAACGGGCCACCAAGAGACTGGTCTGTAATCTGTCAGTGAACTGTGTTTGACATTATTTATTATTATTATTATTATTATTATTATTATTATTATTATTATTATTATTAATATTTACTGTTTGCCAGTTTTAGATCTGTTTTCTTTTTATGGTTCAAGGCACAAATTAGTTGAATAGGAAATCTACAATTAATATAAGGTTGCAAGCATCATAAGGAGTTTTATTTATCATTGTTATGATCACAGACAGTTTTGCAAACACTCAAAGACTGAAATGCGAAGCACTACTGTACGATATGTTTTATAAATGAAACGTGGACAGAATAACATGAAGACCACTTCAAGAGCACATTGTGCAAGTGGAGAATGATTGCACTTTAATACAAATTTAATCCAACGGTCATGAAACGGTGTGAAAAAGTCAAAGGCTACACAAAGACCATATTTACTGAAGGACTGAACAAATGCAAAACGTGTATAACTTTGCATACTTTAGCTTTTTATAGCTCCACTTCTTTCTCCACATGTTCATCGATAATTGCATTCCGTGTTCATGGAGCCATTATTTATCACGGTTTCTGACTCACTTTGGCTTTTGTTTTTAAATGCAGACATCTTGAAAATCTGATAAATGCAGCAAAAACTTCTTCCAGTCTCCTCCCAGTTTCAGGTGAGGGGCGGGACCCTGAGCACGTTATAAAAAGGTAGTGCGCGTCCCTGAACTGACAGTTTCCCAGTCAACAGGTAAACAAAATTTTCTCACAGCAGGTGAGTTTTGTTCATTTAAATGTCACACTGGAAAATGAAAAATAAAATTTTTTAAAATAAGATTTGTTGTAATAATTGTACATTTTACCACATATATTTATTCTATGGCTGTCAATAAATGTCAATGATATTTTTGTTTTAAATAGTACTTTTGTGTCACGTGATTCACAATCGGTCGAGAGAGGGGCGCAGGTGAGGCAGCAAAGTAACCTGGGAGCTCTTCAGGATGGAGGTCAAGTGGAAGGCCGCAGCTCTCCTCTTCGCTCTTTGGTGTTGCTGCGGTAAGTTAAGTCAACTTCTATTCTAAACTCAGTTGTTTTAGCTCGCTGTTCACACTCGAGGAAAAAAGATTTCTCATGCGGTTTTAATTCAATTTTGCAGATGCTCAGCGCATAACCTCCGTGTCCCCACGCATAGGAAGCGTCAATGGAGCCACACGACTCACCATTCAAGGAGATGGTAGGAGATCCGTAATGAGGTTTAGAAGTAAATTCAAAAAGTAGTGTGGGCATTATTTTACTTTGTAAAACAAGTTATGATGGATTCTGAGATATAAGTCAATTTTAAGCTATTCTGTAGCTAAAAGATGCAGCTGAAGAAGATTTGTTAATGCAGTTGTAACTGTCCTGAGAGTCCTTGTGCCTGCTGGCCTGGTGGGATGATGCTGAAAGATGTGACTCTAAGCCTCAAAAACAATTACCTTCTGAGATTGTGTTGCCCCCTTTTTTCCCTTCCAGGTTTTGCACAGGAGCGGCAGTTCCAGCTGAATCCAGTAGACGACATGTTTGGAAACCGTGTGACCCTGGTGTCAAACACCCTGTCAGTCCCCTGTGATGTGGAGAGAGACTCCACACACAGCAACCAGATTATGTGCTACACCAGGTACAGTTCAGGCATACTTTAGCAGCACGTCTGTATTTACTTATTTCACAAGTTACTTAATTATTTCACAGGCACTTTATATTGTCACTTAAAGACCCTACAATAATACAGAAAAACCCCAACAATCGGACGAAAAGCTATGAGCAAATACTTGGCAACAGCAGGATAAAAAACTCCATTTTAACAGGAAGAAACCTACGGCAAAGCCAGGCTCGGGGGAGGCGCAGTCATCTGCTGCAAGTGGTTGGGGGTGAGGGAAGGGAGACAGGAAATAAAACACTTTGCCTAAAATAAATTCCCCTCTGAGCGCCCCTAGTTGTCCTTGTGAATAAAAGATTAATTAACTTTCTAGATAACTTAGCTATAATAGCTGTTGTTTAATTCTGGTTAATTTTGGCATATTGGCTCATTTTTACCAAAACTTTGTACTGTATACATAATGTATGTATGTGTAATTGTATAGAATCTATATCAACTGGCTGTTGATGTTCAATATACTGAATATTATAATGATGGCTCTTTTTTTAAAGCTACTTCCTGCATGCCATTGCCATCTAAAATCATTTCTTTGTCTCTCACAGACCCATGCCATATGATTATTATGAAATCCATGTCAGCGTGGATGGTGTTCCAGACAACAGCATGTGCCGTTATAGTTCGCTCTGCATCTTTACAGTAAGTCTGTGTGCAACACATACTTTCATTTATCTGTGTTTTGGATTTGTTGTGGTCATTGGTTTTTTTATCACCTTTAACTCTTTTCAGACTGTTTGGTATCGCACGCCTACTATTGAATCTCTGAGTCCAGTCAGTGGTCCTCCAGGTAACGTGTGTGCTGCATTCAGTTATTTTACTGAGTTCACTTTGAACTTTTGTTAAACCCACTCTAATGACATGGCAGGCACATTGGTGACCGTGTATGGACGTATCTTTACCGATGTATATGGAAGCAACACAGACTTGAGCTCAAATGGAATCAACGCCAGATTTCTGAGGTAGAAAATGTTAAAATAACTGAAATTGTATTTCTGTAAACCAATTAATCTTACCAAAGCAGCAAAAAGCAATTTTATAAAATGAAAAAAGGTCACGATTTGAAGATAATCTGTTAATATTCTGTAACAGATCCAGCCTCATCCATCAGTTTTCTTAAACTTTATTTGTACACCTCTGTAATCTTCTTTTTATTGCAGATCCTACATGGGAGGAATGCCTTGTGATCTGCTTAAACCCAACTCAGATGAACGGTAAGTTGTTCACCTGCGTGCTTTCTACATTGAATATATTCAGAGCACTATAAAAAGAAAAGAAAAGTTATTTCATTTTTTGCACAATATATCTTAAGGTATAACCTCCAACTGGTTTCTCAATCTTCACAAATGGGATACATGAGCTGCAAAATGACGGGGACGTTTGTTGGTAGGCTGGCTTTCTTCACACTGAAATTACAGCTCTTCTTAATATATGTCACTTTCAAGTTTTCCAAACAACCCTTTAGTAATATATTGTGTATCCAACAGGTCATCAAAACCTGAGTTACATTCTTGATGCAGACTTTGGGAGGTAAAACACTTCAATTGTTTAATGTAAAATTTGTGGCTTCTGAACATTTTTAGCTGTTGCAGATGTTAAACTGAAAATTGTGCTGAGAAGAAGCCATTCTTTTTTCTTTATAATCTGTAGGAGTCAGGCAGTGAAGAAGCTCTACAGGGTTTCAGCTTTGGGCAAGCTGTCCATGTTTCAGACCTTTGCAGGTACTTAGGAGAGCAGATATTTGTTGTTCACGATGATTCAGTTCTTACATTTAGTATTTATTCCTTGTTTTTGTCTTTTTCTTAGAGGTGACAGGGGTCTTTCCTTCAGAGGGTAGCATCATGGGTGGAACTCTGTTGACCGTTCAGGGTCGTTTTTTTGACGAAACTGATCAACCAGCACGCGTTCTCGTTGGAGGTAATCGTCACCATCGGAACAGAAACGCATAAAAACACTAACCAGCAACAGCCGTGTCAACTTGTTTTCAGCACAAAGTGTTCAGTATGAATGGATGAATGATACACACGTTTCCACTAAACAAATTTCTATGTGTTGTTCAAACTACAAGGCACGCAAAGGTGATTATCCTTGTCAACGCAACAGCATGTCAGCATGCGTTGAAAACAAAACCACTGACTTGTCAGACAGCAGAGGAAATAACTTTCCAAAGCACAGAAGCACAGCACACCATGACAAAAATGCTGCTTTTCCAAGGGCTTTGTGAGTCATGTAGTATGCTGCTGACTTTCAGTTATGGTACATATGCAATAATAATAGATGTGAGATTGTAACTGAACCCAATATGTAGACAACAGATATGGAATCACCATTTAAAGGCATTCCTCTCCACAAAGATAACGATACAGATCACTAAATTCAGGTGTTTGCAATGCATTGGAAATGTATGTCAGCTGTGATGTGACACACAAATGATCAGTAACAGACTGGAGAGTGTAACGTGGAGACGAATTATTTTTTTATGAGCTTTACAGTTAGAAAATATGAAACCAAACAGTAATTTATTCTGTAAGTATTTGCATATTTGAAGTTATAGATGATTTTAAAGATGTTAAATGCAGAAATAGCCATTGAATTGTCAGCTACAAAACATTACCAGTTAGAAAATTGTACAAATGTATGATGGTAGAAAGAAACAAAGAAAAATAAAATCTAAGTGGTGATGGAAAAAAAAATATTTGCAGAAAAATATATTCATACATCGTAATAAATTAGATTTATATTTATTTTTAGTTACAAAATGACTAACGGGAAGAAATAAAAAATATATTAAACCAGCTGAAAAATAAGTAAAGAAAACCTACAACACACGTGAATTATATAATAGATTATATTATTGTGTTTTTGTTTTAAAGGTAGACTTTTAAAGTTAAAGGTGGATTATAGGTGAAGTACTTTATATGTTGAATTACAAGTTTTAAAAATGTAATCAGATTAACTACTGTTTAGCCATCGTATTGATGCAGGATAGGAAAAGGTAGACTACAGGTAGTACTGTGGGTGTACTGTGATAAAAGTGTTACATGGACTTAAATGTCAATGAAGTACCTTGATACTCATTGATGTACTTACATACAATACTTTGTATTAATTGTGCTTTCTACCACCGTCGAGTGGTTGTAAAATGTTTCAAAATTCTACACGTTAGGTAAATAAACCCCCCACATGAAAACATGCTTTATTCAGCTCTGCTGTTTTTTTCTGCATGTGTGTGTAAAGTTGATGTGAGCTAAAATGTACCTTTAGCCGCTGACGTTTGATATTTTTCCACAGGCCTGCCTTGTGAAGTCCAGAGTGTGGACGATGACAGAATCACATGCAAGACTGCAGAACACCAGATGAACAAGAACGCAGCAGTCTACCCGGGTGAGAACGTGCCGTCTCCTCTGATGTGTTTGTCTTTTAACCGGCACTTGTTTTGATCCATCCTGCCGCTGTCATACCGTGTAATTATCTAAGTAACACATGGGAATCTGTGGACAACTTGAAGAGTGGAAGAATTTAAAGTATCTATTTGTCAACAAATCTGCTGTCTTAGAGATTTCATCTTATTCTTCTCACCTTTTATCAAGACTCTGACTTTGATGTGCTGTGTGCTGGAATGAGATAATCATTCCAGCACAAACAATCACTTTAATCGTGCATCACAGAAAAGTTCTCAGTCACGATGACGTGAATGGAAAAAAACACACACATGCCTTTTAATGTTTTTCAATTTCTACCACTGTTTCTATCAGGAACATAATCACCTTTAACTTTTCTTTAAATACACATTGGTTCCCTGGATGTTTTATCTTTGTCATATTTCAGCATACACAAACAGACCTAAAAACTGACTGTACAGGCAGGCTTAAATATAAAGCACACCCTTTACTGGTGGATAGGAAGCAATAGAAACTACAAAAAGTGAGAGAAGAATAACAAATCCATGCTATGTTTGCACAAAGGGCTAATTCGGGAAAGAAGACAGAGCTGTGAAAACACACATATCCAAGTAATTCAGGTGATTAAACAAGAGGAAACCAAATATAAGACATAAATGACAAGTAACTAGTAAACAAATAGTGAAAGCCATAACTAAATGGGGAAATACAGAAACATAAAATAACTTTCTGTAGCAGAAGAGACACAGGAGGATGAAACACTGAGGGAATAAATTAAAATAACAGAAGCTGGAAGTAAACACTCAAAACTGAGGCCAAGGAATAACATCAAGATGAAAATCTACACAGTAAGACAACTAATAACCAAACATAAAAATATTTAATAATAAATACAACTTGAAAGTCCCAAAACTGAAAGCTCTGGTGGTGACATCACCGTATCGAAGAGGTGGCTGACACAAACACATTGTAGCATATGAAAGGTCTCCAAGTTCTATCAGTGAAGACCAGATCCTGATCCACAGCTGTGTACTTCACTTAAATATTCATAGAATGGAGGTTAAATATTGTATTAAAGTTATTTGTACAAAGTCCATGTTGAGTCTGAGGGGGTCGGTTAGGAATTCGGGTGATCTGTTATGACCCATATACCGTCTTAATCTTTAACGACTTGTTATTTATTGTTCCTTTGCTGTAAAATTTGCTTCAAGATGCACAAAACTTATTTAAATGGATTATCAGCTTCTGCATTTACCAAATATGTATTTAAAAAAAAATGCTCTTGACAGATTAATCAGATCTGGGCTATGAGGAGATACTGTTGTCCAAAAATAAAAAAAATCCTTTCACCAGAGATTGGTGAGATCTGATGATAAAAAATAACTCACCTGTCCTTTGTGTTAAAACGAGGTCAAAAGGCAGCCGTACCGGCTCGCTGCATGCTTGCCTTTTCTGTTTTTATTTGCTTTGCGTTTTCCGTGTTTGTCTGATTCAGGCCAGTCTGGTTTTCATCTGTCACCACTGGGATTTTATTTTGTAACACTCTGTTGACTTTTCAGTATTTGAAATGAGTTCATGTTTTTCATTATTTACTTCGTTTGTAGCTTTTCTCACACTTGTAAGCCTTTTATCTTACTGTTGTTCATCTTGACTGATTTTAGTATTTAGCTCAGGGACAAAAGCAGTGTGGCCCTGAAATACATTAACATTGTTGCTGATATTAGTCTATTGATTGCTTTTATCATAGATTATTATGCTAATATGCCATCTCTTTGGCATTTCATTTTCTTTCCTTGATTAAGCGACTAACTGTTTTTGCATACCTCATTTTTACTTTTTATGTGAAGGCGGAAGAGGCTTGAAAATGGAGGTGTGGAACAACTCGCGGCCCTCTTCTCTCAGCAATATTTGGAGCTACAACAGGAACACAACTGGCTACTGGTCTCAGTGGATCGACTCCATGCCCTACGTCTTCCCCAGAGAAATGGATTACTTCACCACACGATTTACAGGCTTCTTTGTCCCTCCTGCCACCGGCAACTACACGATATACTTGAACTGTGATGATCGATGTGATCTCTATCTCAGCAACTCGAGCCGCCCTGAAAATAAGGTGTGACAAGATTTATTTTTTTCAAATCACAGTACAGTTTACTGTTCTTAAGTGATAATAATTTCCTAAATCCTTTACTTCAGGTTAAAGTTGCATATCAGCCATATTATGTCATTGACTACACACAACTGGCGTCACAAAAGTCACAAGTACTGGCCTTGGAGAAAGACAAACCGTAAGCCTGGCAGCCTGCAGCTTTATTTACCCCAAATCATTCATCCAAAGTATACCAAAGATTTTATAGGCATACCTAAAATAACTATAAATGTTTTGTTTTAGGTATTACATGGAAATTCTTCAACAGGAATATGGCGGTGCAGCTACCATAAACTTGGGATTGTTCCAAGGGGAGAGTTCCTACACAGAAGACCAGACAGATGATGCTGTCAATGAAGTCCAGGACATTGGTGCTGATTACGACGTGTTTGATGAGGAGCAGGTACAGCACGTGGTAGCTACACCTTTCAGAGGTGTCATACGCCCTTACCTAAGCCTGATATCAGACTAGTGTATATAGTAATGTACTGTAGGTATGACGTTGCAACACTGTTTGTAATGCTTTAAAGTTACAGGTGACAGTGAAGGTTGCTCATTATTTGTTGTTCTAGCTATATCAATAGTTGTCTAATGGAAGCATAGTCTAAGCTACTTCCAGCTATTTTATTAGAAATAAATCAAATGACCAATATATTCACACAGCTAAATATAATAAAGTTCTGCTGAGTCCAATATATTTTCATGGGTGTGATGAAGACCACTCAGAATGCTTCAAAATGTCTTCAAACTATATGTTTTGGTATTTTATTTGCCTGGAAGACCTCTAATGGCAGAAATGCTGTGAATGTACAACTCATCCAAAAATATCTGCAAGTCCTCCAAAAGATGTAGTCGGACGTTTGGGTAAATAAACAGGAGCATGTTTGGTTAGTTAGCTTAGAAATAAAAAAAATAGAAAGATGAGATACAGTAACATGCTACAGGTTTGAGCATTAAATAGTGTTACTATATCCCCCTCTGTTGGACAGAGCTAGGCTAGGTTTGCTCCTGTTTTGCAAAAGTTGCAAAGTGCATGGGAACACCTCTGATCTTGAATTGGATAAGCTGAAGAAAATGGATGGAATGATGTTTTTCATAGCTTTGTGCCTCATTTCTGCACATTTTCACTGTTAACCAGGTGGTTACCTTTGACATGTGGCCCGCCAATGTGGCTGGAGTCAAGGAAGTCCAGAACGTGACTGTGAGCAGCAGCTGTTCTGACGCACTCTGTAGTAGCGCCTTCTTCAGCCTCGGCTATGGACGTGCCATGACTGGTAATGTGAAAAACACTGAGTAAACTTGGATTTGGCAGCCACAAAAAAACTTGCATATCTTGGTCCAATTTGATGGAACCCCAAAATACACGTTGTTTCTTCATCTTTGCCTCGTTTAGCACCGATCCCAGTCAGCGCTTCAGCAGCTGAGGTAGAAACAGCCTTGAACGGCCTGTGGTCCATCAAACCTGACACGGTCATGGTCACCAAACAACAAAGCAGCGAAGGGTCTCACTTTATAGTCACTTTCAATTCTGACAGAGGTATGAAGAACCAAAGTGAGGCGGATGCATAAAATAATTAAAAAGAGTAAGCTTGTGTTGAGCTTTGCAACGGACTTTTTTTGTTGGGTGTTAAATTTGTGCGTTTTGCTCTCTTGGCTTGTAGGTGACTTTGAACCTCTTCACTTTGAGGTTTTTGGTTTGGACACCAACATCACTGTTGCTGAGGTTACCAAGGGGAGGGGCAACATGAAAACCTTCACTCTGCTCTGGGGAGGAATCCCTACAAAGCCCATCGCCTTCAATGCATCCAAATCTGAGGTCTGTATTGTAAAAAAAAAAAAAAGAGTCCAGTGACCGTCTCAAGTTTAGCTTGTTTTTTTTTCTTGTCATATTATTCACAGACTGATTAGGATGAAGATTGTTGCTGAAAATAACTATCAAAGATCCTGCAAAAACTGAATTTTTACAGTTTTGTTAAAGGTGTGATGTCTTGAGGTAACTAATGCCCAGCTTGTGTGAACAGGTTCAGTCGGCTCTGGAAGACCTGATGAAAGCAGAGTGTCCGGGGGAGATCTTGACTTTTGAAGGCACTGATGTGAAATACTTCAAAGACTTTGAAAATGACAATTCGCAGGTTTGTGGGGACAAATAAAAATACTAAAACAGAAAAGAAATGTCTGTAAGTCTGAAACAGAAAACTGTGAGAAATGATTTCTTAAATTTTTAGAGAATTTGATTGTGGATTCTCAGTTTTCTGCTTTTTTCCATTCATCAGTTCAATATTGCAAACGAAGGGACGCCTGTAGATCACTCTGGATTCTGTGGCCGGTGGTCGCTGAAAAACGCCGAGATCCTTTTCAAGGACAGCTACACAACAGAGTCTGGAGATACATATGGACCGGTTTCATTGGACAAGCACCCAATGGTAAAATCAATCATTTATGTATTTATTGTTGATGGCATTGTGCAGCTACCTTTTTCACAAATATTCATTTAATTTTCTTCCAGCTTTGCTTTGCATACAAGGGAATGTTGAAAGATGAAGTTGGAATGAGGTTCACTTACCAGGACAGCAAAGGCAAAACGCTAACACTCACAACAAAGATCAACACTATCTTCAACAAGGGCTCCAAGTCAGTGCTAAGTCCTAAAAGTGCTTTTGATTTATCCAAAATGTGCAAAGATACTAATTACATATCGGTGCAGCGTGTAAATAAGATATTTTCTTCACAGATGGAGTTACAAATGCATGAATCTGCAAAGTTCTCTGCAGACACAATACATTGGGAGCAGATACAGTCTGCTTGAGTTCTACCTGTACAAGGATACTTCTGGTGAAGATTTCTACATAGATGTCGTTCATATTGGAAAGATGGCCACTGCAATTGATGAAAATGGTACAGAGTTGGATAGTACTTATTGTTTAATTGTACAGACAGTATATTCTGCTTTATGTTGTTACATATTTCTATCCTACCGTTTTGCAGAATACCTTTAAATGTATAGCTTTGATGCCTGTACAGGGAGTCTTAAACACTTGTTTTCTCCCTAATTAAATATTGATAAACTTAATTTTCCTCATTTTTTATTGCACAGCTGTTCCTAACAAGAGGAGGCCCGCTCCTTTTGAGGATTCTGGTCGGTCCTTCGAGTTGATCTCCGTCAGCAAACATGCATCATCTGCTTCACGGATCAGCTATGAGATCAAAGCCACACCTCTAGACTGTGCATTTGATTTTCCACTGCTAGGCATTGGCTTCCTGCAGGTAGGATTTAGATGTGTTAATTTAGATGTGTAAAATAGAAATACTGAATAAGAAGTCATTAGATTTCTGGAAATCACAAATGTAACGTCGGTTCAGTTCAGGTTGGCTTCGTTGTTAAAAGTCAGCAGACTAGACTAGAAGACTAGAAGCTTAGGTTTAGCAAGCTAACCTACATTCTTAATGCAACTGGGAAATTTTCAGGCCTTTTATTGTGGCTATCAAGGCAAAGATTTTGATTTCTGACTTCTTGTTATTGTTCAAAAAAGGAGATAAATCTAAACTACATTTTCACCAAGTATTAGTTATCTGATGCACTTTGGCAAATGTCTTTTTGACTCTGCGCTTAGACTTTTTACCTGCATCCAAACAACGCCTGTTAAGATGTGATTGCTTAATAGAAACTATGCTACAAACAGAAAACCAAAAAGCACAGGTTATATACATCATGTCTTGTCCCTGTCCTACAATGCTGTACATATCCAAGTGCAGAATCTGAATTTGTTTTCTTGGTCTGCAAATAATGAGAACAATTTTTGGCCGTTGAAATCCTAACTTTTTGTTAAAAAATATATATATATATTGTGTTGCTAAAATTAAACGGGAGAAGAAGGGGCTTTCCCAGTCACGCCAGTACTGTGGGATCTTATTAGAGTAACCGTATGAGTTTAGGCTTGTTGGCTTGTGTTTCTTGGAAAACAAATCCACACAAAGAAAGGACAGAGGCTAAAAATAAAGCCTGCATTCCTGTGCTATTGTGTTACGGTGTCTACGGATTGTCTCAATAAAACAAACCAAAAGATGATAAAGGAAGAGTAAGTAGATATAAAGTTTCAAAATTGCCTCAGTAACAGTATTTTGAAACCAGATGTCCTGCTTAAGAGATTAGTGTTGCCTCAGCAATGTGAATGAAAGCAGTAGAAATGTACAGTGACCTGCAGCCACGCGTGCGATATAAGTTACAGTACAGAGAGGCACCTTAATGATCCTGTATGCGTGTCATGCCTCCACCTGCTCTACAGTCATTATTTGGCTAACAAATTAAAGCAGAAGCAGCACCAAAGCATAATGTCAGCTATTTCAGTTAAAGCTGACATTAATCTTTGCGCAGTTTATGTGGGTTTTCTGCTTCATGTTGTTTTAACAGGTGTTCTTTTCCCATTTAAAATCCAGCTTTTAGAACCACATTTAGTATCAATAAGATGAAGGTTTTTTGTTTGCTTAGATGGCCCCACATTGGACTGTTATACAGAATAGTTCATGATCACCTCAAAGACTGCATGGCGCCCAGTCCTGTGGCTGCAAAACATGATCCCAAATCATCACCCCTCCACCAGTGTGCTTGAGAATTGGTATGGGGTGTTTGTACCCATCCAAAGAAGCCATACTTGTTTAGTCTTTTTTTAATAGTGCTGCCATGGAATGTAATATTTACCATGCCAACTGAGGTGTACTTCTTGGTTTTACTTTTTTAATACTTTTCTAAGCACTGCACAGTTGGACTGTGGTTTGAATTTGAATTCAATTCAATTCAATTCAGTTTTATTTATATAGCGCCAAATCACAACAAAAGTCGCTTCAAGGTGCTTCATAGATACAGAGAAAAACCCAACAATCATATGACCCCCTATGAGCAAGCACTTTGGCGACAGTGGGAAGGAAAAACTCCCTTTTAACAGGAAGAAACCTCCGGCAGAACCAGGCTCAGGGAGGGGCGGCCATCTGCTGCGACCGGTTGGGGTGAGAGAAGGAAGAAAGGATAAAGACATGCTGTGGAAGAGAGACAGAGGTTAATAACAGATATGATTCAATGCAGAGAGGTCTGTTAATACATAGTGAGTGAGAAAGGTGACTGGAAAGGAAAAACTCAATGCATCATGGGAATCCCCCGGCAGCCTACGTCTATTGCAGCATAACTAAGGGAGGATTCAGGGTCACCTGGTCCAGCCCTAACTATATGCTTTAGCAAAAATAAAGTTTTAAGCCTAATCTTGAAAGTAGAGATAGTGTCTGTCTCCTGAATCCAATTTGAATTTGGGAAGATTTTGGAATTGTGTTAACACGTACCTGAATGCCACAGACTGACAAAACCTTTAAGATAAGATAAGATAAGATAAGAAGAACTTTATTTATCCTGAGGGAAATTCTTTCATCATAAATATACAGAGGAGGTCACACTTGTTGATGATCAGTTAATCAATGGATTTGATTAGCAGCATCTGGATGCTACTTACTATCTTATTTCCTTTGAAAACAGTGAGTGAAATTCTTGTGACAGGATGTATTTACAGAATAAAGCTAGTTTACGCTGCTCATTAACATAAGTAAAATGGTAAATGGTAAATGGCCTGTATTTTATATAGCGCTTTACTAGTCCCTAAGGACACCAAAGCGCTTTACATATCCAGTCATCCACCCATTCACACACACATTCACACACTGGTGATGGCAAGCTACATTGTAGCCACAGCCACCCTGGGGCGCACTGACAGAGGCGAGGCTGCCGGACACTGGCGCCACCGGGCCCTCTGACCACCACCAGTAGGCAACGGGTGAAGTATCTTGCCCGAGGACAAGTAAAGTAAATGCAGAAAAGTTAAAAAACAGCATACATGATATTGCCATTTGAACCAAACATACAATATAATGAGCACAACATCCAGAGAGTCCTTTAAACACTGTCCCACAATGAGCTTAAAGTGATTCCACTCATGATCCATTTTCTGTTGATAAAAAAGGCCTTAAACCTGGCACACACTTTACAACCAGGATTAAGAAGCCAAATCGAAATGTGTTGATATTTTTTTCTCTCCACTGTCTTTTGAAGATGTCCAACAACAGTGAGGATGCGGCTGAGTTTAAAGAAGGAGCTACCACAGTGACCATCGCCCGCCCTCACCGAGCCTCCCCTCCTCTGAACGGCACTTTTGATGCGATGATTTATGGTGGTCGAGCTGAAGGTAGCGCTGACAGACATTAGTAGAATTTGCATTGCCTTGCCTGCCTTGCCTTGCCTGCATCTGCGGTGTTCCACAGATAGGATTATCCAAATGGTTCAATTCTGTGTGACCTATAACTAATTACTGACTTCCACGCTGCTCATATGCCATTGTTGCCATTGTGAATGATGACAGGTTGACATTAATCCAAAGTAAATGCACAAAAGCTCTTTTTAAAAGTTTACAAAGCTTCTGAAGGCTCAAAGAGAAAGAAACAGGGAGCTGAAGCTTCAGGTAGTGTTAGCTCTGTAACGTTATGTCTGCGTCTCTGAGGTTCACAGATGAAAAACTAATGACTTATGGTGTTTATTCTTAGATTAACGTTAGATTAAAAACATAGCACTCTAGAATCAATACATCTGCTATAGCTTCAGTTATTACTTTACCACTTTTCCACTTTGAATTCTGCTTTGAGTGTTTCTGTGATATATAAAATAGTGAAGTACTGCAGCTTCAAGAGGGGAAACCTAATAGATGTGGTACAAATATCATTCATTTTGGGATATCTTTACACGGCTATCATTAAAAATGACAAAACAAGTCCTTGGTTTTAGGTTTATCTGTGGACATCAGTGAGGAGGACCTGAAGTATGCCCTGGAGGGAATTGCAGGGATGGGCCAGGTCACCGTCCAAAAGTCTGGAACCTGCAGACGTCCCCAGTGGAGCGTTAAGTGGCTCACAAAGCCAGGAGACCAACCTCTGATCCAGGTCTGACTCCACCGCATCCTGTTGTGTTTGTGTTCCTTTATGTCTTTGCTCTTTTACCCTTTCTCTATTAAAATGTAAATTTCATTTCCCATCAAATGTATACGTTTGATAGGAAAGGCTACTTTTTCTCTAATAAAGAAAACCGCATGAAAGACCAAAACTGCCAAAATCGAGAATAAATAGAAATAAATGAAGATCTCCATCAATAACATAGTATTAAAGATGAATGTAGACTTTGTGTATAGTGACTTTTTTCTGCTAGATTAGCTAACAGCTTCATTTCTGTAATGATCTCCTGACTCAAAGTAGTCATGTGCTCTGTGACCCCAAAACACTGAATTACAGTCTGCTCATTTGCATTTTTTAAAGCAGAAAATGCATAAATAAATACAATTTGTGAAATATGCTACAGAAAATTAAATAAAAAGAAATGAACACCATATTAGCTAAATGAGGCGCTAATAGAAGTAAAATTAATGAATGATAAAATGTTAATAAATATTAATTTATGTCACAGTTTTAAAATTTTAAACTTGGTATATTTCATTATTACATTTTATATTTTCTGGTGCATTCACTGACGTGACTTTTTGATTTTGGCACTTTTCTACAAATGTTGCTTAAAATTACTATTGTGATACAACATTAGATACGTGGAAATATCCATATTAGTAACAAAAGCTTCAATGACATGAATCAGTCATAACAACATGTACATAAAAGGTATAAACATACATCATACATTGTGATTTTCACTCGCTACAGTTCGATTACTCGTCAGTTGTCGGGGAAAATGTCATTATTTCGGCCACGGAAACACGAAAGGGAGGTCTGTGGATTCGAAGCCTGACAGGAGACTTTTTCCGAGTGTGGGAAAACAAACCACAGGTACGTCTGCGAATCAAAAAGCCTCCAGGCCAGGTGGTTTTAAGTTTCAAGTTATGTGTGTCCAACCGTCTGCTATAGCTACAGCTAATCTGTTAATGTGTTTTTGTTAGCGTGCATCCTGTAGAGCAAGTTTTGTTTTTTCTGTTTGCATAAAGCTGATGTATTGTTATATTCCGTGACTGCAGGCAGCATGTTTGACAGCAGTCTTTAATAACTGTTTCGTTATGACCGCTCCCAGGTGGAGGTTCAAATCAACGGCATCCCATCAAAGTGTTCTGGTGACTGCGGCTTTATATGGTCCGAAGAGAAAACTCCAGTCGTGACAGGAATCAGCCCTTCGCAAGGTGTTCAGTTCATCACCAAGTTACTGTTACCTGCTGTACTTTGTAACTTTAGTTCCTTTGACTCTGATCTCTTTGCACATTTAACTTTAAAATTTTTTTTAATTTGTCCCGTTTGTAGCAACTGAAAATAAAATAAATTCATAATTATAATAAAGGTCAATCAAATGGACCAATATGGCAAGGCCATGATGATCCACTTGGTAAAATAAATCCGCTTGGCATCTTTCTTGGCCTTAAGACAACAATTCTGATGGCTAAAGATCCAAACGGGACACAAAAACAAAAAAACAAACAAACAAACAAAAAAAATTAATTTTGTTTTAAAGTAATAAAATAAAAATGATAGTTATGATTAATAAAGAATACATTAATTATAGAATAGATGCACAGAAATGACACAGTGAGTCAGAACTAATGTGAAGCTTAAAAAGCTGGTGAGTCTGGATTTAAAAGCTGTTTGTGATGCAGTTGAACTTATCTGAAAATGGAGACAGTTGTGGAGTTTAGGAGCTCCAGCTTTGAACAAAACGCCCACTAGTGAAGGGTTTGTTATCCAAAACTTGTCAATCAACACCAGTTTTTGACAGTATTCGTATAAAGCCTGTTGTCAGTCTCATATTATTTGATCAAGTCCAGGAAGTTTTGTAAATTATGCCGTGTGTTTTTATGCCGTACTGTATGGTGAAGGCAGCTTATATAATTTAATATAATGTTTCAGGTTCTAATGGTCTGGGGACTCTCTTAACTGTCACTGGGACTGGCTTCAGCAGTGAAAATGCTTCCATCATGGTGGGAAAGGCCAGGTGCCACGTTGAAGCAACCACAGGTGAGTAGAGTTATTTTTGAGAAGTGAACATTTTACTCTAGGTTCTCGTTAAGATAACTCAGACGATACTTGTCTCCAGGAGACTAACTATAATGTGGGAAATATATTTCAGCTACCACTCAAGTATGCAGACTTGGCAGCACCAGTGCCGGCACCTACCCAGTGTTAGTAAGCTTCCCCTCTCTGGGCGATTCACGCTTTTCAGACAGCAACCTCCTCTTTACCTACCAGCTCATCGTGTCTTCTTTCGTCCCGCTCTCTGGAAGCGTTGCAGGTACAACCACGATCCTCTATGTGAGCCATGAAACACCTAATTCTGCGAGACAATTATTGTTTTATTTTTTCCTCAGGAGGGACTCTGCTGACAGTGAGAGGCTTTGGCTTCAGCCAGAACGCTACAGTTACTGTTGGCAGTGCAGAGTGCACACTGATTGATTCAACTGACACTGAACTGAAATGCAGAACACCAGCAGTAAGTCCCCACACTGCAAACTCATTTTTTATACACAGTGTTTACCTGTAATAGCATGCAAATAAAATAGCTGTCGTGTAGTGTGCTGAGAACTGAGTAAAAAGTACATGAGCAGAAAACAAGAAGAATGCAAACTGGAAAATCCAGAGTTGGTAGAAATTAGTCAAATGATTTCATATAATTTCATATTTAATTATCCAATCCAATATCCAGATCTGTAGTTACATTGCATTATTTAAAAAAGACTGTAACACTTTTTTAGGTACACTAAGAATCTAAATTGAATGTGAGTACTTGCTGGATCATGCATAGTAATTACAAGACATAATAAAATAAAAACAAATATAAAAAGCTTGAAGCTTTCTTAGGATGTTTTAAAAATGTTTATATATCAGTGATTTTTTTTATTTTTTTTTTGTTGAAGTTAATCCAGCAATGAGAACTGAAATTTAAACTCAGGCTTTAGCCACTGACGTATTAAGTGACTTACAAAATTTCTCTACGGTCAAGTAAATGCATTGGAGTCGCTATTAACTTGTTCTTTTCACTAATTTTCCTATTAAAACTATTTCAAATGACACTTTGCATGGCTACTATAATATATATAGCATATGTATCATTGTGTTAATTTTTGTAGTCAGTCAGACGTCACTAACTACTGCAGTCCTTTCTTGTGATGTAGCGTACTGACAAAACTGTTAAATGCATTAACACAACAGAATATTTGAGTAACATTTGTTATAAAGAAATAAGTTCATACTACGTTCACCACCAGACCATTGGTCATATCAGACAGAGTATGCCCAGAAATGACATAGTTAGTTATATAGTCTTGTCATAATAAAACTTACATAACTTAATGTTATGTAACATTATATTATTTCCCGTCTTTAGCTCTGAATAAGGTACTTACTTTTATTAAAATGCTTATTTCAGGGAGCTGTGGGATCACAGACGGTCACGGTGTTGTTGGGAAACATGAGTCAGACGGCCATCAGCTCCTTCACCTACGATAATAACCTCACCCCACAGATCACAGGCCTGAATCCCCTGACCACCACTGTGATTGGTAAGCAGCTCCTTTTTTATGCTGAATGGAGCTGTTGTGTTTATGCATCAAATAACCTTTAACACAACTATAGAGATTGTATGATTCATTTAAGTAAAGATTAATGAGTTTAATGAGGATGAAGGTGGGTTTTGTCCTTTAAAGGTTACTTTCAGTCCTAACTGTTTGCTTCCCCTTTGTGCTTGAAAAGAAAAGGATTCAGTGTTTCTTTATTGAATTTCAAGCCTCTTCATACACAAAGTAAACCACATATAGGCACAGTGCATTTGTTATTATTCAGTTAGTGCTATGAAAACAGTGAATCCAGAAAATATTGAAGGCTTATGTATTTTTGTCAGTAACTTTTACACAGGACAGGTTACATCACATGAAATGTGTCCTTGAATATATGAACACAATGTATTTTAATGGCAGAGAGAGCCAAAATGTTGACGTGTGCTGTCTGGGCTTTGTTGCTCAGAGCTGGCATGTTTCTGACCTGTCAACAGCAGCTGAAAGCGTGTGTAGAAACCTCAATTGTTATAGTCTTGAGTTGTGTAATGCTGATTTGCAGGTTTACCCAGTTTTAGCCTTTTAAAGCTTTCTTAAGCTTGAGAATCTTGGCTCAGGGGGCTAGCATGGCTTACCGTCTAATTATACTAAACAACTAGGAAGAAATGACGCTAAAAGAATTTCTATTGATCTGCAGAACAACCCGTGACATTCATGACATACAATGAGAGCCAACGAGGTGACAAGTGCCAGTCATCTTGGCACTTTAATGACAGAGGCTGCTACGTTGGAAAAATGAGTTGGCATACTTGTTTGTCTTTCTTTGTGCAGGCCACCGAGTTCTCACCATCCAAGGTTTGAACCTCGGGCAGCAAGACAATGACAGCATCGTGCTTGTAGGAAGGAGGGAATGTGTCACTTTGCTTTGGACGGAAGCAAACATCACCTGTCTTCTCCCTGTGCTGCCACCTGGCATGCATGAGGTGGACGTACAGGTTGGGAACAATGGCTACCCCCAGACGAGGTACAGCGTCTGTCAAAGATACACTGAGTGATTTGGAAGTACTATCACGGGTTCATCTTTCGCGTGCAAAAAATGAAAGACTGCTGAATTGTTTTCTCACGTGTCAGATGGGCCCAGGCGCATTCTGTGAGGGTCAGATACAAACATTGTTTTATATTTGTTTTTTCAGTCAATATACACTGTATAGACTGCACCAAGGTTCCTGACACTAGAGTTTGATCCCTTCAAAGGAGTAGAAAATAAATAGGACAACAATAAACAAATAATATGATAATAAATACACAAAAAGTGGAGCATGGTTTATTGCAGACAGAGACAGGATTTGGGGTTGATTTGAAAATGTGATTAAAATCGAATTAAATAAATAAATATCGCTTTCTAGATATATCTATATCTATCTATGTATATACAGTGGGACTCACGGGAGTTACGTTCTAAAAAAAAAAACCTGCGATAGGTGAAATCTGCGAAGTAGCCAACTTTATTTTTTACAATTATTGTAGATGTTTTAAGGCTGTAAAACCCCTCACTACACACTTTATACACTTTTCTCTCTTGTTTAAACACTCTCAAGGTTCAAGCCTTTGTAGAAAAATAAGCCCAGTATTATCGAATGAAACCAAAGGCACCCGCGGTTGCCTTTGACGGTGCAAAACGTTTCAGTGTTGTGTTTGTTGGGGAGAAGACTTAAAAACATGCAGTACAGCACTTCAGAGTCACACTGCGGGCGATCCAAGATTTATGTAAATTTGCTTAACGCAATTATTTACGAAGCTTAACGCATTCTGTACTGTACAGGAGATATGGCACGAGATTGACTAAAAATGGTCTACAGCCAATCAGGACGCAGAACACAATGCGCTGTAAAAAATAAAAATAAAAATACAACATAAAAAAAGCATGCAAAATTGCGCAAAAATAAATAAATCCGCAAAACAGCGAGTCCGCAAAAGGTGAACCGCGTTATAGCGAGGGACCACTGTACATAGATCATAGACAGATAGATGAATTTATCTAAAAGCAGATATCAAGTTCTGTTAAGTGCATCTTCCCAGTGAAAAGCTTTTGCTACTCAAAAATAGACTCGACTTTCTTGGAATATTTAATAAAGATCAGTAATTTCTTTCTCTACCTGCCCAAAAGATCTTCTCTCCATGAAATGGTGCCATGTATTTGTATTCCCACCATTATTCATGAGGACAATGAAGGAAATTCTTAAGGGTATTTTTTTTTTCAGTTAAAATGTACAACAAATGATGTAGAAAACATCATTTGTTGTACATTTTTTCTTTGGAATGATTTTTTGACCCAAATCATTCCAAAGAACTTCTTGGAGCAAATGCTGCCATCTTATTTCAAAGCTTTATCTGAATGATCTTTGATTTCAGTGGTCACCGGGGCATACAAACTGCATGTACAGAATCATTTGTCAAAAAGTGATTAAAAATTTGGTCGAAATTATCCTAAAGTTAGGTTTTAATAAGATGCCATAGATACCAAAACAAATGACACAGTTTAAGATTAATTCTCATAAGTCTATTATTAATGCCTTTACCTTAGCTGGTCTGTTTTTTTGTTTTACAGCAATGGTGTAAACACGACCATTGAGTACATCCTGGAAGTCTACAGCGTCTCGCCGTTGTTCGGTTCTTTGATGGGAGGAACCGAGCTGACCGTTTCTGGCTCTGGGTTCAGCAGCAACGTATCTGACAACACTGTGTCTGTTGGTAAGCAACATGTGATCCAGTCGTAATTATGCCAACCGTGTGTTTTACTAGCAAATATATTTAAGCAATTTATATGAATGGAAGTTAATGATGGTGCAAAAGCTTGCAAATATTTAAAAACGGTGTAACAGAGCTGCATCACTGATCTCCTTCATGTTTTCTGTTTGCGTTGTGACAGGAAACGCTGCTTGTGAAGTGACGGCCGCCTCAGAGAATGAGCTGCAGTGTGTTGTGCAATCAGAGGAGAAGACCCACATCGTTACCAACCAGGGATTCGATCGCGGTAGTTTTATGTTTCTGTGCTTTGTGCAGCTGTCAAACTAAATCTGAGAAGCTGAAGTTGTGTACAACAGAAAGAGGATTAACTTACAGAAAACATACACCTGCGAGGAAGTTGTCGCCTGTAGTCTCTATGCAACTAAAATGCAACTGATTCACAAAGAAATGTCTCAGATTGTGTTAGATATCAGACACTTTAATCCATGTGTGTGTTTGTTGGTTCTTTGTGTAAGTCTTATTCAACGTAACCATGCGTTTTCCAGTTTATGGGCAGGGAAATGCGTGGAGTCCAGCCTCACTCACCGTATTCATTGGCGACACGGTAATGTGGCGTTGGGAGGCACCAGCCTTTCAGGAAGTTGGGTACCGGGTCTTCAGTGTTTCCAGCCCAAGCGGTACCTCTTATGAAGGAGGACCTTTCACCAGTGGAGAGACCAAAACTGCCCAAGGTAGAACCAGAGTCAGCTGTGCACAGATTTATGAAAAGCTTTTCCCTTCTTTATCTCCAATCACCAAAACAATCCACCATAACTTCAGTGTGTGATTTTGTTAATTAAGTTTGTGTTGCTATGGTTCTTCTTTGTTTCCCTTTAAATATTCAGATATAATCCTCCGGACTCTCATTTAAAGTTTTATTTTATCCCACATTGATCGCTGTGCTTCACCCTGTGTACACTGGACAACTGAAATTGTTTTATTTACTGGATTTAGGAAGTTCAAAACTTTGAATGGAATATTCCCGCCCAAAAAGGAAACAGTATTATAAACAAATAAAACAGTTTAATTTTCAGAAATCATTATAAAAAAGTAATAAACTCTGATTTGTACTTACTCCATGTTGATGATATTGAACTCTGGTTTATTGTTGCTGTGCTGCACACTGTAGCCGCTTGTAAAACATGACCTCATTACGTCTAGATTTCATGAGTTGTATATGAGAATGACTGGACACCTTTCATTTAGTGTATGTACAGCGATGTCATGATAAGCTTACACGTGTTGTGCATGAATGAGTGTGCTGTGTTACACCTTTCAACATGCGTGAGCCATACTGAACTAGATAAGCGCACAGCATCATGACTTGATGTGACGTCTTTACAATCTGGGTCTCGTGTCCCTCAGGATTTTTCAGCTACCGTTTCACCGCGCCCGGGGTTTATTACTACAGCAGTGGCTACATAGACAATGCCAACCTCAGACTCCTGCAGGGAGTCGTGAGAGTCCAGAGTCGGGAGGAAAAGAGCAGCGAGGTCTCTGTCCGAGTGAAGGGCATTGAGGCCAGACATGTGGCTGGAAGTAAGTTAATATAAGTGGATAAGAAGTTATGATTGATTTATCCAGTTCTAAGGTAAAATCAAAGGTAATGATCTCTACTTACTACAGGTTCACGTCGTGTCTCCAGAGCAGCGCCACAGTGCATTGCCTCCCCGCAGTGCCAACAGTCCAATCAGACTGATACACTTTCCCTTAGCACCTCCGCCTGCACCACTCCCATGGTTTACTCCATTTCTCCCAACCAGGGCTCATACCACAAAGCGATCCAGATCAAGGGCAAAAGCTTCAGCGACGTGGCCTGTGCTAACGAGGTTAGCAGAACTTTTTAAGACTGCATCATTGAATGAATTAAATGTAAAATATCTTCTTTGGTCAGTGATTGTCCTGCATATCCCTTCTTAAAGACCCATGTTATACATCAAAATACAACATTACTACATAACTTCGTTTTAGGATGCCGGAGAGAATATTCAGTATGACGTAAATGTTTGATATATAATATAGGTCAATAAAAAAACAACAGTACAGGCTGTGGCGCTCCCAGAATCTTTTGAATGGCCTGATTAAATTATTCAGCCTTTATTTAATAAAATGTCTGGAACATTAGAGTGGCAGTTCTATTCAGTCATTTCCATGGGATATTTTGTGCTATCCAGAGACAGACTGGATCAAGCATTCTGAGGAAAAGAAACTACAATTAAATTAAATGATTTGTTGATCTGAGTTTGATTTGACAGTTGAGATCTAAAAGTTGAGAACTAAAACTAATGGATAAACAGTAGAAACAGACAGCATTGCATGTGACTTAAAAAGATAAACAGTGGTCAAAAAATGGAAATAAATTGCTAGCTAATAAATTCTTACCTAATAGGCTGTTTAGAAAAGCATGCAGTTGACATTGTTAGCTAAGTGTACCAATAAAACATAGACTGTACATAAACAATGGGCTTGGCCACTGTGACTTCACATATTGCTTGGGATACTGAGTGTTTTCACCCAGCCCGTTCTCACCCCCGCAGCATAATATACAGACAATTTATACAGACCCGAGGTGTTCCTGAGGAACGCAAAGCTACGCGCCGGGTTACGGATGAAATCCAGTAGAATGACGCTCCCGCGGTAATACAGGTCCCAGCCATGTATTCCAGCCCTAACCCTAACCTTAACCAGCACTTTAATGACGTTAGATAATGTTTTCCAAAGCGATTTGAGTAAAACAAATGTACATGTGTAGATTCATTCCAACGGTTCTCATGTTTCCTCATTTTTCCAATCTCGTAATATAGGAACGTGTTGGGCACCCGGAAGTGTAATATATCAATGATTTGTCATCGTCATCGATATTTAGCATAAAATGTTACATTTTGGGAGTGAGAGCGTGTTGTTTCACCATTGTCGTGTGCAGAAAAAGCCATTAGTTAATGAGTTTGCCCAGGTTTCTGATGCAAACGAAAAACATTGAACTTCAATCAGCAACTCATCAGGGAAGTATTGGGGGGATTAGACTTCTATATATCCAAAAGTCATTTTGCAACCAGAGCTCTTGCCCCAACCCCTCTCGACACCATAAGATAGAATACAGACACAAGACACTTAAGCATTTGCACAAATAACATTGCTTCATTAAAGCATACTGGAAAGCTCGGTAGTTAGCTAAGATTTTGAAGAAAGTAGTAATTTAGATTAAACAAATGAACACTAACATTAGCTAATTGTATATTAAAAACAGGAGTGGTTTAAATGAAGTTGTAAGGATTTTGTGTCTGTAAGACCTTAATGCAATGTACTTAAATTAATAAAACACTTGTGTCATTATAATGAAAGCATTCAAGCACACATGCTTAGTCCTAAGCTTCAATTAACACATAGTTAATTTCATTGTACCATTTAGAAAAGTCATTTTAATCCTAAATCTCAGTTCTTTGACCAATAAATGTGTTGTCATTAACTGACTCGATTAGCCTTGATATAACTCTTGTTCAGACTTGTTACCCACAGTGGTGTGCTCTGTGTGCTGCAGGTGATGGTGGGAGATCAACCCTGTCAGGTGATCAACAGCTCCCAATCTGAGATTAACTGCCAGCTCAGTCCCAGCAGTGAACTTCCCATTGGCCTTGCTCTCCCTGTGGCCGTCAGAGTCAACAACCTAGGCAGCGCCGTCATCGCTGTGCCAAATGAGCTTGAGCGTCGCTTTGTGGTTCTCCCAGTGGTTGACTCAGTCTCGCCTCCTATTGGAAGCCCCACTGGCCACACTAGGCTCCTCATCCGCGGTTCTGGCTTCTCAGAGGGACTTGTAATTGTAGCCAGCGAGCTCTGTCGCATCCAGTCTCTTAATTACACTTCGATCATCTGCGACACGGCGCCTTCTCAGCCACACATCGGTGATGTCATCTTTTACATGGGCCAAATCCAAAGCGCCTGCCACTCAAACTGCTCCTTCCGCTACTCCTCGTCCGTCACTCCCACAGTTACCGGCATTTCCCCGGACAGCATTGATGATGTCACTACTGTGACCATCTCTGGCTCAGGGTTTGGCAGCAGTGTGGATGATGTGGCAGTTTTTGCTGGGTTGACAGAGCTAGAAGTAACCGCTGTGACCGACGGCAACATCAGCGCAAGAGTCAGCGCTCTGCCTGCAGGTGACCACTCAGTCAAAGTGATTGTGAGAAGCAAAGGCCTCGCTTCTGGTCAGGTCACCCTGAGCAGTAAGGCACAAGCAACCCTGAACCCCAACGTGGGCAGCCTGGCGGGAGGAACGCCACTTATCTTCACAGGAAATGGCTTCGCTCGAGGGAACACAAGCGTGATGGTCGGTAGGAAACCCTGCAAGATTCAGGAGGTGACGCCGGGTCGTCTTATCTGCCTGACGCCTCCTAACACTGTGGGGCTGGTGACCGTCATTTTGCAGGTCTTCTCTGTGCAGTATCCTCCTCTCAGCTTCACCTACTCCACCGCCCACACTCCTGTCATCAGCTCCATCAGCCCCACCACAGGTAACTATGATGACAGAAAGATAACAAGCAGAGGCTAATGCAGTTTCTGCAAGATGATTCAGTGAAATTAAGCAAAACAGAAGAACACAGAAAAAAGTCACTGAAATTTGGAAATTGGTTCAGTCTCATTTACCTTAATTTATCATTATTATTACTGAACAGATAAAATATTATTCCAGCTCATGACATTTACAGATTTATGTGTCATTCAGTACCGTAATATATGTATAAAGCAACAAGTCATATCTCAGATTCTTTATTTATACAGTTTCTTCATCTCCTCTGTTTATTTCCTGCAGGACCGAGCGGGTCCGTCATCACCCTGACAGGTTCAGGCTTCGGCAATGACTCTCAGCTCATCACCATCACCATAAATGGCGTCCCTTGCAATGTTTCCACGGTCTCCGACACACAGGTCCAGTTTGCCGCAGGAAGCAATCCAGGGGCGACATACCCAGTCATGCTGCATCACCAGGTCAAAGGTTATGCCCAGTCAGGAGCCGTGTTCACATATGAACTGACGCTCAGCAGTGTGCAGCCCAGTGAAGGTAAGCAATATTAAAACTCTCTGTTTATCTGCATTTTATTAAATCATGCTTATTGAAAAGTGCTATACAAATACAGGCCATTTACCATTTACCATATTGAGGGAAAGAAAAACAAGAAAACACAGACAGACCTAATCGTTAAATAAAAAAATAAAACCAGATCGTTTTTTTTCTGTAGATGCATAAATCCATATTTACTGGGGTTACTTAATTTGAAGAATATCTAACATTCCTCTTAACTTTTTTTGTATTGAATATAAAGCAATAAAGTAAACAGAATTAAGAAAACAGAACAAATGATGTCTCCAGGGAGAAAACCTGCTGTCGGGAATAACAATGTTGGATGCATTCAGAATTTTTGTGAGAGTCGCATCTGTCTGACGGTATAGAGTTAATTACATAAAAAAGGAAGAAATAATTATATTTTTCTGATAATTTTAATTATTTTTAAGTTGTTTATAAAAAGGAATCAAATAAAAGAAGAACTGATCATTTAAAAATCTTGTCTCAAAATACTTCACAGTTAAATAAACTGTGCAGCTTTTGTCTTTTTCTTTTATTCTTTCGTTTCTTTTGATCCTCTAATCAGTTTTTTATTAGCCTACTAAATTAGTTGTTTCACTTTAATCTGCCATTCAGGTAGTTTCGGTGGCGGTGCGCTGCTATCCATCCAGGGCTCTGGGTTTGATCCACTCAACTCCACTGTGCGGATCTGTGGGGAGGAATGCCAGGTTCACAGAGAAACATCCACATCCACCCATCTGTACTGCCAGTCTCCACCTCACAACAGTAAGTTTTACCTAAAGCAGATGATCATGCAGATGAAAAAAATCGCAATCACTAATATCACTAATAAAATGTGAGTTTTGAAAATGTGCATGCTGTGAAATGCAGCCATGGCATGCACAGCGATTGATTTCTAGGGTTATAAACGTTGCTATTATTACTGCTAAGTAATGCACTGCAGTGTACTTTGAACATTTCTTTCCATTAGTTGGAAAGAAGACACATTACCCCGACAGCACAGTAGTGTATCACACTCTGTGGCTAGTGTTAGGCATTATGTAGCAGAGATGTGGGTTTGCACATTGGGAAGAAGTCATTTCTACGTCGCATGGTGCTGCTTTGCCCATGTTCCACCTCTCTGTGAGCTGCATAGAGAGGGATTCATTAGCTTTAATGTAGCTTTCTCATCTAGAACACATTGGGGGTGACGCTTAACTCTGCTTAACCGATGAGGGATCTGGGCTAGCCTGTGAATCCTTGCTGGATGCGTGCCCTGGTCACAATTTAAACTCTGGTCTGTAGCTCCAAAAATGTTGAATTTAATGATTTTTACAGGAAAACTGATTGCTGATGGTATCCTGCTTCACAAAAAATTAAACTAAGATTGTTACAAATTAGAGATTGTGCAGTGTGAAAAGTCTGAGCAGCACTGTTACATTACCAAACAAAAAAGTTCACAACTCCTTCACTTCTAAAATCCAGATCCACAGCTTTAATAATATTAATAGCTGCTAAATGCAAAATAGTTAAAAAATATGTCCGTGACAAGCAAGATTTAATTTATTTTACCTTTTAAAGTACCATATGTGTTTTTAGGGACAAAAAAAATATTTATTATCACATCAGTAGCTGGTTTAAGACACCAACTGAATTCCCTAAAGGAGACAGACTGTGCTTACGAGGAATGCTGTCAGCCTTGTCACAGGGCAGAAAACGGTCACATTTGATAAGAAGATAACTTGATATGGATGATGAGAAGATTTTGTTGTTGCGTGATTTGTCTGTCTGTGTGTGTGACTCCGTGTGTGTCCTGTATCCTTGCAGGCACTCAGTCAGAGGTCAGCTGCGTTGTAGCCGTCATTAACCCACATGATGCGGTCAACGTGTCAAACGGCTTCACCTATAGATCTCAGCTGACTCCAGTGATCACTCAGGTTTCTCCTCGCAGAGGCGGCACTGCTGGAGGCACCCGGCTCACAATCACCGGCTCTGGTTTCAGGTACAGCAAAGGAAGAAAACATTTCACTCAATTGAGAGTGCATGGATCGGATCACTGATCAAGAATAAGTGCTCAGCCGACAAAAGATATCTGTTTTTGCTTTCACTTTCTCTGCTTGGGAACACGGGGATTACAATCCTGACTAATAGATTACAAATACTGCTTTTTGTTGAGCATGTTTGACACATAATGAACTGTATTAGTGTCTGCACACATATTCATTACCACTAAGGACCATAATTTTGTTTTTTTACACAGTCATCTGCCATCAGCTCTTTTTAAACAATGTAAAACTCACAAAAACGAGGTGCTGCCCCTCGGCTGGCTTCCAGAAGTTTCCGATTTGGATAACTGGGCAAAGTGGGAGTTGATCTTAAAGAAAGATTACTGAGGAGATCACTGAATAAAAAGAGAGTTACAAACCCATAATAGGTTTTCTTCAGTCTGTCTCTCTTGCTTGCGTTCACTCCCCCTCCCATATTACAGCACTGACATTAACGAGATCAACGTGACGATCGCAGAGTCCGTGTGTGACGTGCAGTCCGCCAACAGCACGCACATCATCTGCGTGACCAGCGCTCAGGGGCAATCTCAGGAAACCAAAGTCAGAGTCAACATCGGAAACCAAGGCATCGCCAAGATGGTGAGGTTGATTTGTTTGTGTTTAGTAAAGTTACGCTGCTTCAAAGGACGGAAACAGTGCTGTCTGACTGATTTTATTGTTTCTGATTACATATTTTCATCCAGTGTTTTTTGTTGTTCTTTAGGACAACGCAGATTTCTTTTACATTGACGTGTGGTCGTCCAAGTTCACGTGGGGAGGTCTGTCTCCACCAGAGGAGGGCACATTTGCTGTTATTACTAAAGGCCAGACCATCCTGCTGGACACCAACACACCTGTGCTCAAAATGCTGCTTATTCAAGGTGCAAAAATTACTTCTTAGTGTGTGTTTTTACATTCAGACATTGTGTAAAAAGTAAACTATGTTGGATGCAGTGTTTGTGAAAATGCAAAATTTGGAGAACTGTTGCAGAATAAGGTAAAATATTTTTTTAAAAATTGAACGAAATTCAAACTGTCAGAGAAACTCAAGTTCTTTTTGCGTTCAGGAGGGACGTTAGTGTTCGATGAAGCCGACATCGAGCTGCAGGCAGAAAACATACTGATCACCGACGGCGGTCGGCTCCAGATCGGACAGGAGGGAGCGCCGTTCCAACACAAAGCCATCATCACGCTTCACGGTCAACTGCGTTCACCTGAACTTCCTGTTTATGGAGCCAAGACACTGGCTGTCAGAGAGGGCGTGTTGGACCTCCATGGTATGCACACACAAATTTATATTCATAAACACACATAAGGTATAGATCAGGTATAAATCAAGTTCCACATCCTAATTTGTAGTTCTTACATTTTTTTAGGATCTTTTTTAAGATTGTTCTGTTTAAATGCAACAAAACACTCATTATGAGTTAATACAGATGTTACATTTTGTTTGTAATTCCACAGATTTTGTCACTCATTAAAATGAATAACCAAGTTGCATTTTAATATTGTTGTTTTCCTACATTTTTCTGAAGTAAATATTGAAATAAATACTTCTTTCACCCTTGAGGTGCACGATCGTATCATGTAAAGTCAGAAACAGAAGGCGTTCAGCAACAGAAACCTCAAATAGCTTTGACCCAATTATTTCAAAAACACGCATTGCATGTCATGTAATAATATCATGTAATAGTAAGCTGACAGCATTTTTAGGTCTTGGTGCTCAAGGTGATTATTGTCACCTCATCTGTTTCTAAGGAACCAGGATAATAATCAAACAATAAGCCCCAAAGTGGACCAGTTTTGTAATAGTTGCTCAAGTTTAAAATGACCTTTTTTATAAAATCAGGTATTCCTGTGCCGATCCCCTGGACCCACTTGGCCCAAACAGCAAACAGTGGCTCAAAAACATTGAACCTGATGAAGGCGGTGACGTGGAAAGTAGGAGATGAGATCGTTATTGCCACCACTGGACACAGGTACAGCTGAGGACTGATTCATAAAAGCATAAATCCAAGTTATTCATCTGAGCTATAAAGCCAAAACATGGGAACTACATGCATTTAATTGAAATGTTTAATTTACTGCGAAAAGAAATGGACAACAAAATGTAAAATTAAAGTGATTAGCAGCTGATATCATCTCAAGCCAAATTTTCAACTTTTTAAAATTTGTGTTAATAATCCTAAAATTATTTTTACAATTAAAAAAAGATCCAGTTGGAAAGAAAACTGGACTTTAATATACTTGTCTATTAAATTGGTCAAATATTTTAAATAAATGTGCTCATTTAGTTACCTAAAGATGTGGAATGTGGAGAAAAATGTGCAACATAACAGTATATTAAATAAATTGCAGCAATTAGCATTTTTGTTGCAGGATGCTAGTTAGCAGCTAATTGAATTAACATCTCTAGTTCCCTATATTTAAAAAACAGAACATGTTGTTCACTTTATTACTATAATGAATATGTGAAATAAGATTATGTAGTAAGCAAAGAACAGAATAAACTAGCCCTGCTGAAAGCTCAATCTTATGGTTTAGCTGAGTAGCAGTAGCTACCGCCGCTCCGATTCTCTGGTTTTGCTAACCTGGATAGCGGGGAAATGTGTGCCAGGAACTGCTGACAATCAAATGAATGGAGGATTAAAGATTACAAAACGTCACTGAAATACTGTTTTATGCATTCCAAAAAAAAGGTTTTAATAAATCTGCAGAAGGGGTAAAAATATATTTATTTATATTCCAGGCACAGTCAAGGAGAGAATGAGGTGAGGAGGATTGCCGCTGTGTCGGCTGATGGAATGACTCTCACCCTGACCGAACCGCTGAACTACACTCACCTCGGGGTGTCCGTGACGCTGCCTGATGGTACGGTGTTTGAGGGCAGAGCTGAGGTGGGGCTCCTCACCAGGAACATCGTCGTGCGAGGTTCACAGAATCAAGAATGGAATGACAAGGTTGAAGCCTGCCCGGGCGGCTTCAACACAGGTACTTAGTGATGGATAATGGTGGATGAGGATTTTCTTCAGACACATCAGATGGTTTTTTTTGTTATTGTCAGCCTTAAAGTAAAATATTTTTCTGTATATATAGCTTGAACCCTCCTCTGCTGTATCTGCATACTAATTCTGAGACAAGAGCAACACTGTATTTAATACATTTTTGCACTTCTGTGACCTTCAGGTGAGTTTACCACCCAGACATGTTTCCAAGGACGGTTTGGAGAGGAGGCCGGCAGCGATCAGTTTGGAGGTTGCATCATGTTCCACGCCCCCAGACCAAACGAGAATCTTGCGATTGGCCGATTGGAATATGTTGAGGTAAAATGTATTTTCATTCTCTAAACATTTCTATACTATAGTATCTTTTAAAATTATTATTAGTGTGTTAAAAGTTTGAAGTCTTTGTGCTGTTGTTCTGCAGGTTTTTCACGCCGGACAGGCCTTCAGGTTGGGACGTTATCCCATCCACTGGCATCTGATGGGAGACATCAATTACAAGTCGTACGTGAGGGGCTGTGCGATTCATCAGACCTTCAACAGGGCCGTAACAATCCACAACACCCACCGGCTTCTGGTGGAGCACAATGTGATCTACAACATCATGGGTGGGGCTTTCTTCATTGAGGACGGCATTGAGACACAGAACATCCTGCAGTACAACTTGGCTGTGTTTGTCAAACAAAGCACCAGCCTGCTAAATGATGACGTCACTCCCGCCGGCTACTGGGTCACAAATCCCAATAACATCATTCGCCACAATGCCGCTGCAGGGGGAACGCATTTTGGCTTCTGGTACCGCATGCATGACCGCCCTGATGGCCCTTCCTACAACCCAAACATCTGCCAGAAGAGAGTTCCCCTTGGTGAGTTTTATAACAACACTGTGCACTCTCAGGGCTGGTTTGGACTGTGGATCTTCCAAGACTTTTTCCCCATGAAGAACGGAGGGTGCCAGTCCTCGATCCCCGAGCCCGCTGTCTTCCGTTCTCTCACCACCTGGAACTGCGAAAAGGGTGCTGAGTGGGTCAATGTAGGCGCCGTGCAGTTCAAAAACTTTCTCATGGTCAACAATGAGAAAGCAGGCATCGAAGCCAAGCGTATCGTTCAATGGGCTGTGAAGGGCTTTGGAGAAGACGGCGGGGCGACGGTGTCCAATAGCACCTTAGTGGGTCACGTGGACGAGCTCGGACTAGGCAGCGACTTCTGCACGCACCGCGGCGTCATCCTGCCTTTCGACGACGGCATGAGCGTCATTAACAGCAAGTTCATCAACTTCAACCGCAGCTCCTGCGCAACCGTCGGGGTAACCTCGATCGACGGGGTGTGTGTGGAGCTCTGTGGTGGCTGGGCTGCCAGGTTCAGTGGCATCCAGTACATGAACTCACCCAACAAGGCCGGCTTCAGGTGGGAGCATGAAGTGCAGCTGGTGGACACTGATGGCTCCCTCACAGGTAATCTTTAGTGATTTTATTTTCTCACCATTTTCTCTCTTATATGTGTATAAAGGTTCAGTTTGTTATGTAAACGTAATGCAAGCCTTCCAAGAATCATGTTGAATTAATCTTTTCAGAAATTCTATTTATTCAAACATTCTGCTACTTTTTCATTATGCATTAAATAATCAGCCAAAGCTAAGTAGTGTACTTGTTTAAGGAAATTTTAAGCATCACCTTAATGCTTAATACACTTCTGCTCCTCTATTAGGAATGTTTTGTAGCAAGACTCTTTCTGATTGTTTTAAAGTAAACGTAAATGTGTATGTTCTTCATATGTTTTGGCTCTTCAGTCGGTTTTCTGCTTATTTTCAGGAAACATAAATCATGTAGTTGTGCCTATGAGCGACCTGCTGGATCCTGCTCACTGCTCCCAGAGTGCCGAGTGGAGCGTGGGTTTCCCCGCCGCTGTGTGCGACGAAACTGTTAACTTCCACCGTCTGGCATTTAACAACCCCTCCCCGAGCTCTCTGGTGGCCAAGAACGTCATTCTAACCAACTCACATGGTATAAAAAAACTGTATTCGCTACTTTCAGATCTCATATAGTTGTAGAAGAAGCTGTAATTTGTTTTTGTTTTCTTACCTGTGTTGACATCTACTGGTGTTTAGAAGGAACTGCAGTAGAGATTTTACAACAACTGAAAATGCCATCAGGAACAAACTGCAGAGAATAATATTTTATCTTTATAGGAAATGTTAGATAATTATTGTGCATTAATAAAAGCAAACCTCCTAACATGTAAACAAACATATAAATATGTGTGCTCTGTCTCTTAAATTAAACTCAGGGAGCTCCAGGGTCCCCTTTTTGAAGAAGAGACTAACTCATCCGTTTGGATGGATGGCCTTGCTGCCCTCTGGACAGACGTACAACTGGTATTTTGAAAATGTGGATCACGTGACCAACATCACTTACAGCGGAAAATTCTACAGCTTTAAGGTAATCACGTCAAAGAACACGTGAGTAAAGTATGTTAAATTCGATATAGGGCTTCGCAAACACTGATGTTTGTCGCACGTTTCTTTGCATGCAGCGGGATCAGTATGTCATCGTCAACCACAACTTCACGCAGAGTCCAGACAGTTTCCAGATCATTGACACGAGAAACGGCTCATTGACGCCACTGAGCTTCAGCAACAACAGGAACGGAGATTGGTACTTCAATAAAAGCTCCAACAACCTCTACTACATCGGTTAGACGCACCTTAATATGGATATATTGTACTATTTGATTTATCCTGTATTATTTTATTAAAGGAAAAGATCTTATGCATTTCCTATATATAATGTTACTATAATGTGTAAATACTACAATGTAAAAATGCCCAAAGTGTCTCGAGACACTCACTTTCTGATGATTCTCTACCCTTGGCTCTTTATGATGTCAAAGAGAGCAGATGTCATTAATGTGGTAATCTCAGGTGCGCAGCTCTAGATGTGCCCGAAACTCCTGATGTGCCCAGTTGATGAAATCACAAGAAAGCGGTCCTTAAGTTGACAGAGGCGTTAGATAAAACGAGATTATACAAAGTGGATTTTCCTAACTCTCGCTCAGTCTTATATGTTAAAAAGCTTTTTCATGACGCTGCTAGAATAGGAGCAGAATGTTTTTAAAGAGAGAAAATTGCGTTTTTAATGAAATTGTTGCATTTGTTAAATAGGTTGTGCAGCGTGCAGTATGTTTGCTGTGATAAAATATAAATAAGCGTTAAACTCAGGGAGGCCTGCTTTATTATCATCCTTCTTTTTATCAACTTTGCTGTTTTTGTACATCTTACCTTCATTGGGTGTTACTCTTGCTTGAATAAAGCGTTCAATAACACTGTTCTGTTCTCTTTGCAGTGTCTGGGAAGACAAGCCAGCGCAGGCGGAGGTCCAGCGTTGACCGATCTATGATTGACGTTCAGACAAACTTTGCGGTCTTCCGCTGTTTCTACCCCAACTGCATCCCTCCAACACCACCGCCTCCAGCCACTCTCGCGCCATTACCTAGCCGCCGACCTGGTAACTTCATGTAAGTTGTTTATTATCTTTCTATCAGACGTTTTATGCATTTAACTTTTTCTGGTGTGGCCTTGGTGTATCATCAAAATGTCTGTTTTTCTGTAGCCGATGGTCCAATGCTTCTTTCTGGAAAGGCTCGGCAGAAAACAACTTCACCGAGCCAACAGAGGGTGCCGACGTGGTCATCCCATCAGGTAATGAAGCTTAAAACTAGGAGTTTTTTTGGCAACATTTGAACACAAAAAGATTTTTGTTTTTTAGGAGCAAGTTTAAAAATTAATTGTCAAAAATGTTAATTTCTGAAAATAAAACATCTATTATAAGTATATTGTGACTAAAAATGCCTCTTTATCCTTGCTAAACCACAGGGCAGTGGGTCGTTTTGGACACCGACACTCCTCTTCTCAACAAGCTCACAGTTATCGGAGTCCTTGAGATCCCCGACACCATGAACAGCTCATCTACCAGACAGGCTCGGTCTGTACCCGCGTACAACACTGTGGCTATAGATGCTGTCTACATCTCCATCCAGGTCAGTGTAATCAGTAATCTCTCCAAGATCCTCATCCAGAATATCACTTTAACATAAATTTATCAGCATTTATCTCCAGCATATATTTCATTATGACAGCAGCTCTGAGTGTGTATTTGCCTACTACATAACATGATAATGTGGAAGTCACAGGTACTGTTTGACTGAGCACGATGAGTTAGGTGATGTTAACATCTGTGACTCTTTCAGGGCGGCCGACTGATTGCGGGATGGAACGACGAGCCGTTCAGAGGTCAGCTGTACATCAAGCTGAGAGGGAACCACCGCACTCCGGACTGGCCTCTGCCAAACGGACCCAACCAGGGATCCAAAGTCTTGGGTAAGAAAACTGCTACCGACTTGTGTACTTGCCTAACCTTTTTTTCGACTGTAGTAAAAAAGTTTCCGTGTATGTACTGCAAAGATAGCTCCAACTGAAGAGACTGGTGACGTTTCTAAAAGCCTGTAAGTGCAACAAGACGAACCTTGCAGTTACATGATAAACATCACATAACTAAAAGCTAATATAACTGAAAAAGCTAAGGAAGCAATCGATGCACTGCTTTTACCACATGGCTTTAAATCTGTGTGACATTCTCAGTCCATCATTCCCAACAGTTTTCAGATTTGTCTTGCATGAGCCATAAAGCAAATGTGCCCTTTTTACTGTCCATACTCCTGCTCAGATCCTTATTATTTGTGATGCATAATTCAAAAACCAGGCTAAAGTACAAAATGAACATTTTTTTGTTGTTGTTGTTGTTGTTTCCTAAAATCTCAGAACTTTTAACTTAACCCTTCCATACATGAATTTTGACAACCTCAATCAGGATTTTTTTCTTAAATATTTTTATTTATCTTTAGGCATGACAAAAAGGTGTTTGAACTTCATTTTTTTAAACATGTACTTTTCAAAGAGTTTTTTACATGGCCAAGTAGGTGGACAACATACGTTTAGACTTATGAATGGAGTATCGACTGACACATCAGTGTCCAATGTAGTGGTTTATGTGCAAGTATACCATCAACACTGACACAAACACAAGAAAACAGTCTTTAAATAGCTGTAGTGACCACTGTGCCTGAAAGGCTTAATATGCAGTATTCAAAATGCAAATTAATGTCTTTGTTCATTTTCTATGAATTTTAAATTCGATAATAATCAATAGTGACAGTTATTCTAATTTTATTTAAATGAATAATTCAATTTAACATAAGAAATTTATCATCTAAAATGGCAGAAATAATATATTTTCTTGTCCAACAGGCGTGTTCGGCACACTGGAGCTCTATGGACTTCCTCGCAATGTTTACCGCACCAAACTCGCCGCTACTGCTAACGCTGGATCCAACACACTGACCCTGTCGCAGTCGGTCGACTGGCAGGTCTGTATAGTTTCCTCTAGAATGTGTTATTCCATTTTTTTATACTACGTACTGCATTCACGTGTTGGGTGTTGAAAGCTGATTGTATAACATCCAACTACAGTCCTGAATTTTTATTCCTTGAGCAGCAAAATCAATTTATTCTCCTTCTACCAGATTGTCGAGTACCTTTACTTTAATTACTTCTCATTGGAAGTGTTCACTTTTTGACACGCCTGCTTCAGGTTGGAGACGAGGTTGTAATCTCCACCAGCAGCTACACCACATGGGAGACGGAAAAACGTCAGATCGCTGCCGTGTCAGCGGATGGCTTCGTCCTGACCCTGAACCAGCCTTTGACCCACACTCATATTGGTGAGTCGTAGCTCAGGACTTGGAGTTATTGTTCTGGTGTTTCTTTTACATCAGCTGAAAGGATTTGTTCGGTCTGGTTATATGAGTCTCAATAAAAAGCCTTTATGTGTATGTGTTGAAGCTGTAAGAATTTAACTTTAAGGTGTATTAATGAGGGGAAAAAAACATTATAAGCAAACCTGTAATATAGATCCGCTGGCTACCTTCTTACTATTAAGGAACCACCTCAGTTATTAACTGATGTTTCCAAAGCAACACGCCATCAAACACTGAAATGTCTGCGTCATCTTCTGTCCACAGGTGGGACTGACTCTGTGTCAGGTACGACTTTCTCCTACACTCTGGCAGCTGATGTTGGTCTCCTGACCAGAAACATCAAGATCATCGGTCAGGATTATCCAACTATGATGCAAGACTCGTTTGGAGCCAGGCTGCTCGTCGGCACCTACTCCTGGGAGGGAATCAACTATAAAGGTAAAAAAAAGACATCGCCCTGAAGACGTGGATGCTGTGGTGGAGAAGGGGTTGAAACAGCAGTCAGTGATGGAGTGTAGTAGTGACACTGACAGAGGGAGGGAGGGGAAATGTTTCAGTATAAACAGACTGAATGGATATCAGTCGTGAGGATGACTCTCAGACTTTCTGTCATCATAATTTGCAATTTTGTTCTGAAGGCAAAGCTCAGATCAGAAACGTGGAGTTCTACCACTCTGGCCAGGAAGGCTGGACTGACTACAGCGACCCACGCTACTCTGTGGCCTTCCTCAATCTGGGAGAGGTGCACCCCACACGCACGCACACACAGCATCTTTCCCAGCAACTGCCTGATCATAGAGGAGGATTAACAACTGCAAATATGATTTTTTATATCTTGTAGCAGAAGTTTATTTAAACAAAACTGCTGCTTTTGTTGTTTAATGAGAAGAAAGTGTCTGTTAAATCTGTTGGGGGTTGTTTTTCTGTGGTGAAAGGTGACAGAAAAAGAGTCATACATTCAGGGCTGCGCTTTCCACGACGGCTTCTCTCCGGCAGTCGGCGTTTTTGGAACAGACGGCCTTAATGTTGATGATAACATCATCCACCACACTGTCGGAGAAGGTAAACACTGTGCTGTCCGTGGCTCTGTTTTTGTATCTCATGAAGGCAAAATGGTTATAAATTTGATTTAAATTTCTCTTCTTCTGTGTTTCTTTTTGTGTTTTCAGGCATCAGAATTTGGGGAAATAAGGTGAAACTGAGGAGGAACTTGGTGATGATGACACTGTGGCCTGGATCGTACCAAGGCAGAGAGGAGCCTTTCAACTTTGACTGGAATGCTGCCATTGAGGTTTGTTTTCTAGGAATATCCAAGGAATAGGAATATATATCAACCACTTAAACGTAAGTAATGTTTGTTTATAATAATCATCTGGTCTCTTCTTTTTTTTTTAAAACATATTTCAGGTTAGCGAGGGGACAAACATCGTGCTGCAGCACAACATTGTGGCGGGTTATGAGAGAGTGGCGTATCGCATTGATGGCGAACCATGCCCAGGTGACATAGATGACTTTAATCAACAGTGACAGGCTTTATGTCCGGTGCTGGTGCAAATTTCTTCCTCTTTCAGAACAGTAAATTACAGAACTTCTTCTTGTGCAGGTTATATAAATGATAATGAGGCTTGGATTCATAACGAGGCTCACGGCGGTCTGTTCGGGGTCTATCTGAACAATGACGGTTTGCCTGGTTGCGCCCACATCCAGGGTTTCTTTGTCTGGAGGAGCTTTGACTACGGCATCTACTTCCAGGTATTAAAAACCAAGTCTCTGCTTCCTACACTTGAATAATCAGCCAGGTTCATCCAAAACAGGGCAAATAACCTGAGGGTAACAAAAGGAAAGAAAAAATCTGGGCATTTAATGAGAAGAAAAACAGGAAAAACAGGCTATGTTGGATCATGCACGTACATTTGGTCATATTTTACTGCATCAAATAGCTTTTTGCCATAATTTTCACAACGTTCCAGTTGCCTTTCCAGAAAGCAGCTTTAGCATTAGAAGTATAAGCTGACAAAAGCCTGTTTGAGGAATTTGTTCAAGCAATGTGTAACAAACTTAATATGTGTTTGCTTTAAAAGGGTCCATGCTTTGTCTGAAAATAAAGATATAGTAGATACAATGATACCCTTTCCTCTTCCTCTCCCTGTCACAGACCATCATGAATGTCATGGTTTCCAACGTGACCCTGGTGGACAACGGCATGGGAATAATGCCTATGATCTATGGTCCCCCTTCTCTCTCCCATGAATTTGCCAATAAAACAGTGCTAATTCAGGTGAGATGCTTTATTTTGATTAACTGATTGTTGTTCTTCTGTGGGAGCTTTGTCTTTGCCAAAGGATTTAACTCAAATCCCTGTTCCCCCAGAATTCCTTAATTGTTGGCAGCAGCCCGAGCTTCAACTGCTCAGACACTTTGCCAAACATCGACTTTAATTTGGCCACCACTTCAGGCCATCGGGCTCCCAGACCTATCCAAGGTAGAGTTAAACTGAAACTCTTAGATACAGATTTTGTCAATTTAAGAATAAAAAAGTAAAACCTGAACAACGTATACATGCAAATGCTAATAAACCTCTTTAACTGATGTTTCTGTTTTCATTGTGTACAGGTGGCAGATCTGGAATCTGCTGGCCAAATTTCCAGTCTGCCCACAACAGTGCACCAGCTAAGGCTCATCATGTAAACATGAACTACAACTCTATTAAAGGGCTGATGACAGTCAAAGGTTGGTTCAGCCTCTGCGATTTGGAATCAAACTGACTTTTTGAAATGATGCTTGGGAGCGTTTTCCCAGTAAACATGCTTCTAACTCCTGATTGCACTGGCTTTCTTTGTAGACACAACATTTGTCAACTTCAGAAATGTCTGCTCTTCTGAGGCAAACGTCATGTTCATCACAAACCCACTGAATGAAGACCTGCAGCACCCTGTGCAGATTTCAGGAATTCAGATGATCAACAGCACAGACGAGGCCAAAGTGTTTATCCACAGACCTGATTTGGGGTAGGTCACTCCATGCTAACAGATGTCTGGTGCTAAGGCTTTGATTAGAAATCTGTTTATAACAGAAACCTAAAAAAATAAAAGGCAATAACTTGTAAAAATGTGTTTTTCACATGGTGAAGACATGACATGTTTTGTAAGTCAGCTGGCAAAAATGAACCTTTTATTCAACAAAGTAATCTTCACAAACTGACACCGCTTGTATGGTTTTCAAAGTGTAGAAGTGAAGTGCTAATGTTAAACGAAACTACAATCACATGACTGGGACATCACCACCAATAACCTCCACTCTTTGACATAATGATGCAGATTTTCCGCAACAACTTGTGTGAAAATGCGTGAAAAGCTTTGACCTTTTAAGCTGGGTATTTGTTGATGTATTTTATGGAAAATGTGGTATTCAACTATTCACAAAAAAAGGTCAACTTGGCGGCACAGGAATCGTGATTGTGATGCCAACTTAACCTTGTGCACTCTACGGGCATCTTACATTTTAATTGCTGCTGCTTCATTTTAGAATTTAAGCTGCAAAACCTTTTTAAATGCTTTTTTCTTTTTTTTATTCAAGCTTTTGATCAAGTAAAATCTAATGTTTTTGTGCCCCAGTAAAGTAAACCCTGCTGACTGTGTGGACATGGACTGTGACGCGAAGAAGAAGAGCTTGTTGAATGACTTGGATGGGTCGTTCCTAGGGGCAGTGGGCGCTGTGGTGCCGCAATCCGAGTATGAGTGGGGAGGAGATCCCAGGAGGGGGCTGGGCGACTATCGCATCCCCAAAGTCATGCTGACAGCCCTCAATGGCAGCCGAATCCCGGTGAACCAGATTGCTCCAAACAAAGGTAACTAGAGTTTGGTGGAAGAGATACAATAGTGTGTCTGGTAAATGTTTATTATTTATAAACATATAAAATGATATCTTATCAGTTAATGAATACATTTTTCCAGCCAGATACCTTAGTGTCTGATATTTCCTGTCTTATTTCTTACATTGGTTTATTGCTTAATGGGTAAATTTAGTGTTCTGTGGTGGTCATGAGTTTTACTGGAAAGTGTTATATATCTAGTTAAAAATCTGTGCGTAGGTGTGATCAGGAGAACATGCACCTACATGAGTTCCTGGCAGAGCTACAAGTGCTTCGGCCTGAACTACAGGATGTTGGTGATTGAAAGTCTCGACGCTGACACGGAGACCAGACGTCTGTCCCCCATCGCTGTGGTTGGAGACGGCTACGTGGATCTGATCAACGGTAGGATAAGGAAAAGTTTTCCATCATATGCTTAAGATCTTGGGTGTTGACGGTCTGTTTAAAAACAGCAGAATGACTTTAAAACTCTGTTTTGTGTGTTTGTGTCCAGGTCCTCAGGATCACGGTTGGTGTTCTGGCTACACCTGCCAGAGGAGACTTTCCCTCTTCCACAGTATCGTAGCCACTGGTCACTCCTTTGACGTCTACTTCACGAGCGTCAGCCCGCAAAAGCTTCGCCTCATGATGCTCAACTCTAATCCATCTGAGGTCAGGCCACATTTTCAAAAATGCTGTTCTGAATGTATTAATTCTTTTTAAGGAGTAATACTTTTAAAAGGCACTCCTGAGATAAATCATTAAAAAAAATGCCCACAAATACAAACCAGATGTCTAAGTCTTCAGATCAATCTACATTCAGTAACTAAGTGTCTTTTTGTTGTTACATTTGTGCAGAGCATCGTGGTGTCAGTGTTTTATTCCAACCCTCAGCGTCTGGATGTGTATGTCAATAATCAACTGATCGCTCCCACTAATGCTGAGTGGAATGCTGATAACACTAACTACATCTTGAAGAAACCGATACTTGCAGGTACTAATTGTTTACACAAAGATATCATGTGCCGACTAGCATCACGGCTGATCAAAAGGACTCAAATGCTGGACTCACAAAGCAACCTTTACTAAGCAGAAGGTAAAAGTCCAACAAATTCCAAAACATAAATTAACAGTGGAATCTAAAGGTATCAACAAAGGCAAACACAAAATTCAAGACACAGAAGAAAAATGATTACCAAAATAAAACAGAAAATTGTGTGACAGCGAAACACAGGACACAGATGTGGAGACTTCACAACATACAAGGAACACGGGGGAGGGAGGATGGAAGTAAATATAAGGTGCACACAAGCTAAAACTAGACTTGAAAAAGTAGCAATAACTAAAACTGAGAATATATTTGTTAAAAAAGCGACCAGGAAATACCTGCTTCATAAAAGAATAAAGAAAATAACTATAAGACAGGAACCAAAATAAAAGTGAAAATGAAAACAATGAAACCCATCTGACCCAAATATTAATGCAAAAAAACAACAACAACAAAAAAACAAGCAAATGAAAAAACAAAAAAAACAAACTATGATCCCAAACCCTGATCAAGGTTTGACTTGGTAACTAAAGTAACTAAATAGCTTGATTCTCTACAACAAAGAAGTAACGTGAGTATTCTATCATGTTTTCCCCAACAATGTCCAGCGGAGAGAAAAGTACATCAGGTTCATCAACCGACTCTAAGACGTCTTTCAGAATCTAGTGGACGCCAGCCATTTTTATAAAAGATGGCGGGCTAATGTCACGTAGCCCTTTATGTTTGTTCTTTTAAATGTGTTTTTCCACCCTTTTATGCTTTAGATGAATACATTTTTTTTTTACCTTTTGTCTTAGTTTAAAGTATCTGCATTCTTAATTTCTCGTCTTGTGCAAATAATCACCACAAATATTAATCAAATCAACAGGAAATGTTACAAGGACCTGTGTTTGTCATGTATGAATTATATCTGAAGATGATGATCTAAGATTTTCTGTGTTTAATCACTCCAGGTCAGTACGTCCCCGAGCTAAATGCCACTGTGGGCACCAACTACTTTGACCAGGACTATAAGATGCTGAAGGTCGTGCTGAGAGGCTCTCAACCAGTGGAGATCCGTACTGCCCCGGTTCTCGTCATCGCCTTTGGGTTCCCCGCAATGACCGAGGAGGAGTTCTATGGCAACAGCCTGGTCCAGAACCTCGCCGTGTTCCTCAAAGTTCCTCCCAACATGATCCGCATCTCCAAGATCATCAGGGAGAACGGAGGCGCGCGTCGCAGGAAGAGATCCACGGGCCTGACAGTGGAGGTGGAGATCAAAAAGCCTCCTGTCCAGCAAACCACAAACAGCACCAACGGTTAGGAAGAAGGAAAAGTGCCACTTTATTGCTCATTAGGGTCTAATCTGTTCAGTTAATCATCATCTTTGCTGCCTGTGTCTTCTCAGATGACGAGGACTTTACACTGCTGAAGAACATCGCTGATGAACTGGGTCAGGCAGCAGTGACTGGAAACCTCAGTCAGTCCATCGGTTTTAACGTCTCCTCCATAGGCATGGTCCCACCTCCTCCTCCATCCTCAGACCCCAGCTGGAATGAGGTGAAGCAGAATAACATCTGCTCTGTAGACACTATAACAGCTGTTTTGATATTAAGATGATAAAAATACATTACGTGTGTGATGAAATGTCTCATATTTACATGGTGATTTCCTCCTTTTAACCTCAGGTGGCGACAGAGGAAGTAACGAGAGAGGAACCTACCGTGAATTACGTGTCCGGCGTGGACCGCCTGCTGCTGATCGAGGAGCCGATAGCCGGGGAGTTTGTGGGTCCTCTTTACCAGCAGCCCAGTCTGATGGCTGTGGATGCAGAGGTGAGGCAGCTCGAGATGTTTTACTGCACAGCCAGTGTTAAAGCTGATGTTTTGGGAAGGATGTGAGGTTGGTTTATCTAATTTTTGTATTATTAGATGATCTTTCATTTCAACCAGTTCACCCCCTTCTACCTTTTATTTAATTCATTCACTAACTCATTCATTACTAACTCATTCATTACTAACTCAGTGACCCAATCCATATAAACACTGCATATTTCTCACACCTTGCCTGGACCAGGGTTGGATTATTTTATATTTAGGATCGTTTTAGTAGGACTGAGTATGACTCATCTGGTATTCTAGAAATGTATATTTCTCAAAGTTACCATGATTCTTTTGTTTTTCCTCAATCCAATATAAAATTTGTTGTCTAGACTTAGCTGTCATTCACAGAGAAGGCAGTTTCACTGTAAATGTGGAGTGGACTCGAATGAATAATTAGAGTAAAAATAAGGAACATTTTTGGGACATTTATGCGTGAAAATCAACAATTTTACCTGAGTGGATAATCTGGACTTTCTTAGATGGCAGTCATTATTTATAAATTTCACCAGACAGTGAGCACAACGGTCTATGCGAACGTCGATGTGCCTGCATGTTTTTATGACCACACTGCCTTGTTTGGGGGAAGTTTACGTCACGGTGCACTAGCTACCCCTGCACCCCAGGTGGCACATTTCCAGCAGACTTTGAATAAGTTGAATACGTATAACAGGAATGACCCTCTTAGCCATTGGGTCTCGAGCTGTTTGTGTCCACAATGGAATATAATCAAGGATTAAGTCTGTTTTCTATATTCGTCCGTTGTGTGTGTGTGTGTGTGTCCACTCACACTGACCTTTGTTAATGTCTGCAGGGAAACTGCGTCTCCGTGGGAGTGACGACTCTCATGGTTACAGCCAGCCTGAAGGACTCTGATGGAAACAGCGTTGGTGGGCTTGAAGGAAACACAACCATCCTGTTCAGAACCTGCTGGGCCAACTTCAGCGACCTGTCCATTGTTAACAGCGGTGCGTTCACACATCCTCACCTGAACCTAAATAACGTTTGAAAACTGGCAGATTGAAAACAGCTGGTGCAGTTCATCCAGAGCATGATAAAAAAAAATTGCAAAACCAATATGTGCATAAAATAAATATCAAGCATTATTTATGAAAGCAGAAACTGATCCTATTAGGCGTATAAGTATCTGTTCTTCATCTGCAGGTGAGAACCTGACAATGGTCTTCACTTTGAAGGACTGGGGCACCACATCCAGAGCCTTCTCCATTAAGAACACTCCCACCACCCAGATCCCGACGACCAGCAGCAACATTACAGAGCCGACACCTACCACGACCACTGGTCAGATCACCGACGACAGCATCTTCGGCTCTGGCACCACTGCTTCTGCTGGCGCTCTGTGCCTGGCTAGCGTTATCTACACCGTGGCCTGCTGCTCCGATGCTGTCCCCATAGGTTAGAAGAGCTCAGCCCGCTTTATGAAGGATAATGTAAAGTCACGTTAACATGAAGGACGAAAACTAACCTCTTGTTCAAAGTTTATTGTGAGTGGTATATTTTTCCATTGCTTATAGCCTTCAGATCAATATCCATTAGAACAAAAATCTTCTCAGGTAAAAGGGATTTATGAAGAATACAACAACAAATAATTATTTTTACTATTTCATGAGGTAAAAGTAAAGCTTTTCTTAAATGATTTTGTGCATTAGATGTTAATTTCTGTTAGTTTTTGGGTTCTTTCATTGTATTTTGTGTAAGATTTAATATGGGTGTGAGGTCCAAATAGATTACCTCTACTTTTAAAAAGTGCAGCAGTGAAATTGAAACTGCAAACAGCTGAAGGAAAACAAGAAATTTTGCAACAGTTTTCTGCATGTTAATGATTGTTTGAAACTACACTTTCTTTTCAATAAATTGTGTTTTTTATCTTTAAGTGAATCTTTACTGTGTCACTGTCTCTTGACTTGTTTTTTTCTCATGTTTTTGGGGCTTTAAAAAACAAAGCTCGTTGTTCTACCCTAGCAGCAAAGTGGATAGAGGCTTTTCACTGTTAAAAGAATAAAATACCAAAACATAATATTAAAAGCCCAGACTGCAGCGCTGTAGGCAACATACTGAAACGGAGCCTATATCTACTCAAAGAGAATGTGATTGGAGGGGAAAGAAAGGTATATGGAGTCCAAATTTTCATGAACATTGGCTTTTGCCACGACTCTTTACGTGGAGCGTTACAAGCAGCACCTTTGGGAAATCAACAGATCCAAAAACAAATACAAAATCAAATCACTTGGAAATTGTTTTGGATTATTGATTATTCATTATTTTAAGTGCTTCAGTAAACATGAAACCATAGTGAAGCCCAAGATTTAGCAGTGAGGTAATGGAGCTGAGATTTGCGCCATGGATACAATGTAAACAAATTATAAGGACAAAAGCGTTGGGCCACGCCTCTTGATCTTCGAATTCAGGTGTTTTCAGCCCCACGGGTTTATACAAATGTTTTTACTGAGGATGTAACTTTAAATATTCCCACCATTAAGAACATTTTAGAAGGGGCTGTAATAAATAATTTTAATGTCCCAAAATTAATTTTAAAAAATGAAATAAAGAAATAATGAACAGCATCGTGACGCCTTTTTTTTCATACCATGCAGAAAAGTGTAGTATAGTTACGCAGTTATGTCTTTCTTTCTAGAGTCTATTCTAGTCATGAATCTCAAATATGAGGATATCTGAATAATGTGTGGATTATAATAATTATTTCTATCTGCTGAGCACAGACTCTGTCCACGGTGCTGAAGGACGTTGCCTCTGTGCGCCTTTCGTCTTTCGCATCAAAGCAGTATCTCTTTGCTTCACTAGAGGGCATTACACTCCACAATAAACACTAAAGAAATAATGCACCGAGGCAACGTTACGGGACTCGTTCTGCAGAGAAACTTCCAAAACTCAGGCTTAAAACTGAAAATCAAATCAATTCTGATTCCATTTAAGCAGGTTTGGTGAGAGCGAGAAAAGTCAGCGCAGTTTCATGCACCATAGTCTTTTGAGCGCACATCTGTCTTTCCGTGAGGAGGGTGGGGGGTGTCAGAGGAACAATTATCTTTACAGCCTAATTTGCCCTCTCCTTTAAGCCTTTAGAACAATGTAGGCGTGTCCTCGCCTCCTGTGTTTTTTAAACTGCGCGCCGCCTATCCCTCTGAGCTGTGCGCACTTTGCGGAGCAGCCACTTGCTGCACACAGGAGCGGATGCAGAGTCCAGCTCTGGTCCACCCCGGCCACAGCTCAGGCTCCGACTCAGACTCAGGACGAGCGCAGAGGATGGATTTCTATCACTTCTCTTTTCTTTGCGGGGCTCTTGTGTTCGTGTGGGGCATGCCCTGTTTCCAGACTCTCGTTATTTTCCCTCCAGCTGCGCCGAAAAGCAGCAAAGCGGCGAAGATTTTTAATTCACAAGAAGCTTCTAAATATTTTAAGGAGTTTTACGCTCGACCCTCACAGGACAGATACAACAAAGCAGCACCTAAAGACTTAATTGAGCCGCATGACTACATGTTGTCTATTTACAAGACATTCTCCACGGCGGAGAAGCTGGGTCTCAATGCCAGCTTTTTCCGTTCTTCAAAAGCTGCAAACACTATTGCAAGTTTTGTGGACAGCGGACAAGGTATGTGGAGCTCTGCCGCGTGTGTGAGTGTGTGCATGTAGGTAGTATTGCTGGTTCACCTGTGACTCATACTCTGTCTCCCAGTTTAATTCAGTGCAGACTGCATTTGGGATATTTATCTGTCAGATTCCACATCTTTGTGGTATGTAGATCATCTCAGTGAGAAGGCATCTGACCCTGCTGTTTTAATGCTTTCCACAGATGACCTCCCACTCTCCCCTCTGAGGAGACAACAGTATCTGTTCGATGTCTCAACCCTCTCAGAAAAAGCGGAGGTGCTGGGAGCCGAGCTCAGGATTTACACCAAAGCGTCTGGGAATTTCAGGATATCGGAAACAGAGCCTGTCGACATCCAGCTTCTCTCCTGCCACGACCAGCAGCTGCTTGACTCCAAAACACTGGACCTGCAGGGTTCCCACAGGCCGAGGTGGGAGGTGCTGGACGTGTGGGAGATATTCAAGGAGCGACAACACCTGAGCCAGGGGAAGCACTTCTGCCTGGAGCTCAGGGCCGTGCTGGACAATCCTGAGAGGGAGCTGGATCTGCATCTTCTGGGACTGCACCGACATGGGAGGCCTCAGCAGAAGAAGGCCATCTTAGTGGTCTTCACCAGGTCAATGAAGAAGCAGACACTCTTCAGCGAGAGGAGGGAGGGGAGAGCCTTACTGGGCCTCGAGAAAAGCCCCAAAGAGAGGGGCCCTGGCACTAAAGCCAGCAGGAGACGCAGGACTGCTGCATCCAAAACCCGCCATGGGAAGCGACATGGCAGGAAGTCAAAATCCAGGTGCAGCAAGAAACCCCTGCATGTGAACTTCAGAGATCTGGGCTGGGACGACTGGATCATCGCCCCGCTGGACTATGAGGCGTACCACTGCGAGGGGGTGTGCGACTTCCCCCTGCGCTCCCACCTGGAGCCCACCAACCACGCCATTATACAGACTCTGATGAATTCAATGAACCCTAGCAACATGCCTCCAAGCTGCTGCGCCCCATCCAAACTCAGCCCCATCAGCATCCTCTACATCGACTCAGGAAACAATGTGGTGTACAAGCAGTACGAGGATATGGTGGTGGAGTCTTGTGGTTGCAGGTAGTACGCCCAGCAGGGGTCGTGGCTTACCTTGACCTCCTGGGAATTGAACTGCATCGCAGTCAACGTGGAGGAAAGCCTGTATCTGAAATAAAGAGAACTTTAGCAAGATGGAGACATCAACTATAGTTGAGAAGCATTTTTCTTTCAATTATGCATCCAACACAGTCATCTTGATACCTCAAACATCTCTTTCTGTCCATCTCCTCATCCTTTTTTTGTCTTTTTAAAGAAAATCAATCTAGTCACTTGAAACTCTGCAATTACCACAGATTTGTGGACAAATAAATATGCATCTCATCGCCAAATTAATAAAATACTAAATGCAAAAAGTTGAGCATGTTCTTGCAAAGATTTTGATGAAAAGGATGATTTCATATCTGTATGCTAAACCCTGCAGCTTGGTCGTGTCCTAAAGAAATAAAAATTTATTCAAACAACCACAAGAAGGTAGTCCAGATAAATAAATCCACCCTGCAATAAATGTGGATGTAAATGTATTCAGAAAAGGCATAAATATGTTATCTTTACAAAAACAGGTTCTGGTAATACAAGCTAAGTATACGCAAAGTGGACGTTATGTGGCTGTCTGTTCACAACCATTTAATAACCAAATTTGTTGTCATAGTTAGTCAAACACAGCAAAGAAGCAGAAGCCACCACCATCTGTAAATATCAGCGTATTTGCTGATGGTCTATTACCTGTCACAAGACTGATACAGTTGATGATTCAGACATGCAAACTTTCCACTTTATGATGAGCTCAGCTCCTTCTGGAAGTTAGAAGCGTGAGAATGGTTTCCATACACAAATCCAGGAATCTTCAACAAAGAATAAACCTTCAGTTAATATACTGAACCTTTCAAAAGATCAAAAGATTGGATTAAATTAAATGTGTAATTTGTGTAACTTTTAGACTCTTTATATAAAACTTAAAGGATTTCGAAAGGAAACTATATTAGCAATGAATCACCCACAACAATAAAACCATCTGCCAAACTTGGACACAGCTCTAACCCATGAGGGCATGGAGACAGGATGTCTGGTACCAGAGACCTGGTTCTAAAACATTTTAAAGAAGTCAAAAAACAGCTTTTAAGCGATTATTAACAATGAAATAAATATCTACTTTGAGTTTATTAAGCAGAGGTGTATGTCATCAGTGTGGCAACTTCATTCTTAGTTTGTTTCATATCTATAACATCCACTTTGCTCAGACACAGTGGCAGTGGTTCTTTTGAGCTCTGTTCTTTAAAGGTGAGGCTTCCACGGATGCTTGGATTAGACTGGGAGTGGGGAGTCTTGAGGTTAAGTCAATGATCTGAGCTCCTTATCATATTCTTAGGTAGTTGCTTCAGTGTAGATGGGCATATTGTGCCCACTGCCATCGAGGAGTCTACCTGTTATCTTACTTGTCTAATGAACATCCACATGAAAGCCAGAATCTTAGGTTTCCCAGCAGATCACTGCATTGTATATGGTTTATGTTATTCCCATCAGCTGTCAGTGGTTTTATTGTTTTGGCACAATTTTTCTCTGGTCATTTTCAAAAGAAGGCCTTGGAGTAAAAAAAAAATAAACTATCCAGATCTCTTCGTCTGTTAGCTCAGTGGTTTATATGATATGTAATAACTTTACATCCAGTTTCACTAGAACAATAAAACGTGTCCAGTTAGTTAATATAGAATTTTTGCTGACTGAACAAACTGACTGATTACGCTCTTTCCAGCTGTTTCTTCTGTAAACCAAATCATTAACTTCAGGTAAACATGTTCCGCATAATGGAAGTTTTGATTTTTATCCCTGCCAGGATTAAAATAGCAGATTTTCAGCACCTGACATGGCCTATGACTCAGGGAACGTCTTCCGATCGACCAACGTTCACATCTTTTCATCAAAACCATCGTGGGGTTTCGCACCACTTTATGTTTAAGATGATTATATAGATGCAATAACTTTGTCTGTAATGCACTGATGGTCAAAGGTGCCATGTGTAAATATTTGGTATGGAAATAATAATTTAAGTCATGTGAGTAAATTATTGCATTTACTTTGTCCGCTTTGTTCTGTTACAACTTCCAGACGGCGCGAGTCACACATCTGGAGGTTCAGGCTCAAATAAACACACATGGGTAATGTTTTTGTAAAGAAATGTGACAGATTGTGAAATATCAGATTTCTATCAGTGTTTTTAATGTATATATATAAACAGGAAATAATTATCCACTGAGACAAAAAAGAAAAAAAGATTATTTTTGGTGTTGTGTTTATCTTAGCGGCACATTTTAACTTTTCATACTTTATGCTCTGCAATATTTACAGGCATCCAAAAATAATATATTACAACAACTGATAGAGACAGTGTTGTGGCACACTGTGTTTTATTGGAACCTCTCATTTCTATAATAAAAGTGTGCTACTCTATGAAGCAGAAATTCCTGAATAATGTATTTTTGCAGCATTAAATAGTCTAACCAAATTAACATATAAAATGTATAAAGATGCACATTAAAACTTACAATGTTTTCTTGCTGATGTTTTGAATGTATTTATTTATTTTTTGACAGTTTTAGTGCTAGTACCATATTTCTTATAGTGATTACTCTTAACATGACTTTTTTTGTATTGTAAAAAATGCCAGCTCTTTATTGGCCCAGAGTCTGTAAACAGTAAATTAAACAACATTGTAACAGAAGGACACTGAGACACCTGGAAGATGCAAAAGTAGCATAACCAAATTGAGCCAAATATCAGCTGGTCTACACCTGCAGGAGTGCTGTTGATTCTCTTACTGACCCCAAACTTTGCAATATCTTCAAAATGAAGCATTAACTACTCAAACGCTGGTAACATTTTAATTAAATTAATGTAGCAATTGTCTTTAAAAAAAAAAGAAGAAGAAGAAGAAGAAGAAGAAGAAGAAGAAGAAGAAGAAGAAGAAAGGAAATACATGAATGTTTTCAATATTAAATTAATATATATATTTTAAAGGAAAACAGAAAAGCTCAAATTACTGGACAAACTGGGCTAACTGCAGATTAGCTAAATTAAAACAGGGTTTGTCATGCTAAAAACACCTACTGCTAACTGTACAACAGGTGTAAAGGAAAGTGTGATGTGATTACACTTAAAGGAAAAACCTCAGCTTGAATTAAAGTAACTGTCATGTATGTCTATAAAATAATCTAGTAGCAGGTTAGCTTAGCATAAAGACTGAACAGCAGCCTAGCTTACCAATGTCTTAAAGTACAACTGCTGCTAAAATTAACCAGTTAGCAGCTGAATCCTTTGTTAAAGACAGTTAAGGGAAGGCAAGAAGTGATTACGTCTGGTAACAATAGAGGTAGCTGTATTTAAAAAAGTAATATGGGCTACACTATATGACATTTTGTAATAACATAATTTTTTTAATGGCTGTTTTTGTTTTCTTTAAACAAACAATATATAATGTCTTAATAAACTATATTTTAAGATGCTCTAGCTTGGCTGTGGCCACTATTTCCAGTATTTCCAGTCCATGGTTTGCAGTTATGGTGTTTTGCTAATAAAAAGAAATTAGCATCGTTGTGGCTTCATCTAGTGGACAAAAAAAAAAGAGTAAAAATGTTTGTGTTTTGCCAGAGAAATCCAAAACTGCTGTTCATCAGTAATGCTGTTTAATAGTTTGATCACGTTTTCCAGTAAGCTTTAGTGCTATCAGGTTTTATAAAGTGCTCTCACAGCAACCTTTTAACCTTTTTTTACATCTAAATTTTATTTGATAAAGCTTGAGTGCACTTCTCCAGGTTGAAAAGTTTCCACATAGTCAGCAAATAACTCTGTTTTACCTAATTTATAAGCAAAAATATTAAACCCCTTTGCTAGTTTCCCAACTTCAATTTAAAGAAAATAGTTTAGACATCTTCTTCTCTGTTATAGAAAGATAAATATTTAACTCTTCCATGATGGGTTGTCCAGTTTATACATTAATTACTTCAAATAGAGTGAGAAGCAGCTAATTCTATAATTAGATATGTCAGATTTTTTTATTCTATACACAAGAGAAGGCTCCAAGATTGACACAATACAGAGTAAACACGGGTCTTTAGGGGGACATTTGTTGCATATTCAGCTTCAGTTCCAGCACAGAGAGCTGAGATGTACCTGCTGCTGGACAGTTTGCAGGGTGAAAGCAAGGTCAGCAGACATGTGGAACTAGTGCCATCTTCCATGGGTGGGCTGTGTTTCTCTGTGCTGGAGGTCGGATGGGGAGGGAGAATGGATGGGATCAATATGTGACAAACAAATTGGTGTGCGGATGCAATAACTGACCCCGCTTCAGTCTAGAGCCACATTGAGTCCTTTGCTTCACAGACAATAGTGGTGGAGGATCTCAACATCAGATTAAGCCTGCTTTTGCCCTAACTGGGTTCAAAGGTCAAGTGGCCCATTGTCTCCAGGGACTGCGGATATTAAACAATGTACACGTCCCCTTAGAAAAGAGCTGCAATTAAGAGGGAAGAGAGGAGGGTGAGGGGGAAGGAATGCGTGCGATGCTCACTGAGGGCCTCGCTGTCAGTCTCCAAACAACAAGGTGAGATATAAAAAAAAGGGGGGAGGCGGGTTTGAAGCGGCTGCTCGGAGCAGCCTCGAAGGACAAAAGAGTGGAATGCAGCGTCTCTAAAGAGGAGGCGTTTCTGCTCTGTGTCTCGCTGTGGCAGATTTGCTGTGAGATGGAGAAAAATATTTGCTGGAGACACAAAGACGGGTGTAAATCGAGTGCAGGATTCAGCTGCTGTTATCAGAGGAGGGGGAAATAAGTGGGAACTCATGTTTTTTTCTGACTTTTCTGTGATGTTAAATGTTTCACACATGCCCAGAGTGCAGTCAAGAGGAACAGAGAGTTAAAAAGGGGTAAGGACAGAGATCTGGAAACAGATATTTACAGAAGTACGGAAAAAAAAACATCAAAGAAATGTCAGACAAGCACGGCAAAAACAGAGAAAATACTTTCCCCTTAAATATTATCCAGCACGTGCCTCCCTTGTTTGCTTTTAGAAGTGAAAAGTCCTCTCACCTTGACCTCTGTGTTTACTCTGGTAAACGCAGCTTGTTAGAGGCTTTATGGGGGAAATCCTTTCTGTGGAGTCGGATGGCAGCAAAGCCCCGACACAAGAGGGAATTCACTTCTGTTGGTCAAGTAAACTCTGGGAATTGCTCTTCCTCAGACCTCAGAGGGCATGAATTTAATGCTTTTTCCAGGTCTAGATACCCTTCAGTATCTAATCAACAGCATTTCAAAGACTGCATTTCAACTTAAGCAACATCTTTGAAATATTTTTATCGAAATCCTGTTTAAAATACAATAAAAAAAAGCGGAAAATTGCTGAAATAAACATGCATGTATTGTGTTTTTATATATTCTGTCCTAGCTGGTTAAGGTGGAAGCTTACATATTATTTAACTGGTTATGTATGGTTGCCTTTAAGATTTATACTCACCATAACAAGCGTATAGTGTCTTGTGCAGTTTTATGTTGCAGTCTGCATTTAAGTTTTTCAACTTTTGCTTAAAAGTCTAAGTTTATTTAATTCTTTTTAGTCTTCTTTTTTCAGTCTGACCTTCAACAAGTACATTCTGTAGGATATATATATATATATATATATATATATATATATATCCTACAGAATGATATTATCAAAATAACTATTTTGATAACTCCTTTGACAGCAGTCTTAGCGGAGATGCTCTAACCTTCCTCTCCTCAGCCACCTCCTCCAGCTCTTCTGGGGTACACTGCGGCATTTCCAAACCAGCTGAGAGATGTAATCTCTGCTGCATGGAGAGGTCCTGCTCCCAGTAGGACATTCCCGAAACACAGCTTATAAGAGGTACCCAGGAGAGATCATGTAGTCAGGCGTCTGAATCACCTCAGCTGGTTCCTTTCAACTGTAATTTTAGACACTGGTCTCAGTATCTTGAACAGTCTGCTGCACAGTATACAGGATTCTGCCTCAGTGGACCTTTTAAAAGAAATGCCAAAAGACATATTTCCGCCTGGCTTTTCCTCAAACATCATCATTTATGACCCTTAACATTGCAATCAGTGCATTACACACTTTTATCCCATCTCCAATATTACAACCACAAACGGGAAAAACTTATCTCAGTGACTGCAATTGAGATAAGCTGATGCTAATAGGTAATAAAATTTAACCACAAAATGAAGCTTTTTAAAAAACAGGCAAACTGGACCTTCAAAAATGCCAGATAAAAGCTGGGATCTGAAGATGCAGGAGAGCTGCTTGGTCCAGAGGGAGAGTGAGGGTAAGGTGATCCTCAATTACTCAACCTGGCACACCTGAGAAAGAGGGAGAAGAGGAAGAAAGAAGGAAGGAAATAAGGAACTAAGGGCACAAGGCGGGGGCGTGTAACATCCTAAAGTCTTAAACTGATTTTTATATTTCTTTTCAGTGTCTGACTGTTTTGATTAATAAGCTTTGCAATTGTTTGTCACATTATAAACTAACCAAATTCCACTTTAGACGTATGCATGTTGAGTTGAGTTTCAGAGTTGACATTTCATTCAGTCATGAAATACTTGAGTCAAAGCTCCATTGATATTCAGCTGATACAATAACTACCTATGAACACAAAGTTCATTACTCTCACATTAATTTAACAGTAGTGGGATTGATATTGCCTACTGGGGCTTTAGTGAGCGAGTGTACAAATACTGAAACACTGAAATTTAATTAGTGTGGTCCTTTGGCCAGTTGCACACCTGGAGAAAATGGATTAAACAGGTGGGAGCAGCTCAATTATGAAGACAGGTGTGCATTGTAAAATGTGTCTTCTTAAAAGCAAGAAAACCTCTCAGGTTTGCACTAAAAATTGTGATAAGCATACAGAATACACTTTAAAATAATTCAGACAAGTAACATAAATTCCTGTTTCAGTTGTTCTAACAGGAAGTTAAATAACAGAACATTCAGTGAATGTTCTGTTATTTGAGTGAATGGGTTAAATGCAGAGAGTAATTTCCCTACAAGGGATTAATAAAGTATACCAAAAAAAAAAAACCAACTCCTTTTCCACATTTGAAAAAGTTACAAATAGAAAACAATCAGGTGTAACCTGCATCAGCTGGAAGGAGTCTCCACTTTATCTGTTTGTGCACTGAGCGTGATCTTTGGGACAATGACGTCCATCAACACCAGGTTAAAAGATGAAGTCATTTTAGTTTGCTCACTAACAATATGAAAGTATTTCAGTGTGACGACATGTTTCATTTACAGTGTGCAGACAGATTTACGCTGTGCAAGCTGCTCCTCACATGTAGCATCAATCAATCAATTACTGCACGAAACATCTTGTTCTCCAGATTTGAGATAATTTATTTAAAGGTTGTAACTTATTTCTTCTGCACATTATGCAGTAATGACGATACTGATAGTTAAGTTAGTAAGTTAATTTACCACATTGTTAAATGACTCTTTAATTGAATAAGTGTTGGATCTGCTCCTGACTGTGCTTCCCTTTAAATTTAAAAGGCACGGGTCAAACACCGGGGAAAATATCTGACGATACCAGAAACAGCTGTCAAAACATTAATTACAGCACAGGTTTTTTTTCAAAAACTGTTTAATTGTATTATTTTTTCTTTGTTGCTCTTGTCTTATTGTCATATTTTGATCTCAAATTCAAATGCCTCAAAATTATTTCAATTTCACAGGTCTCAGGAGGATTAACTTTTGTCATATGCATTTAGCTTCTCTTTTAGGGCTTAGGACTTGGCAATATTTGAGTTTTGGGACTCCACATTGTAATAATTTGGCACTTACAGCATGTAAATGTGTTT